GAGCGGTTCGTTGCTCACCACTCACTATTCACCATACAATAAACCTAGCCATTTTCGTTTGATTCCTGTACACTGTACGTGGAGAAGATACAGTGTGTACACATGTGTGTTATCGCGACGAAAACGCGCTACTCTTACTTTATTCAAGTTGATGGAACTGTACCGCGTACGTACACCGTCGTACCTCGTCGAAGGCAACTTGGACCGAACAACCACCGCCTTCGTTTAACGGACGCCACGTAAGCCACGTTACTTTCGACTCGTTTAGAAAAAGGTTTGCTAGACGCGGATCATCGATTTTCCGAGAAAATAGGGAGGCTGGTTTCCAACGATTACACGAGTGACCGATCCACGAAGAAAAGCTTGCTTGCCACAGAATCTATCATACATGTATCTATGTATGTATACATACATGTACCTACGACACCACCTGACGGAACCCTGCTGCTGCTGCTGCTGCTGCTACTACTACTACTACTCCCTTGTCTTCCCGCCATCCACCTTTTTTCTCTCCTACTATCGGTCTTGTTATATCGGTTCAGCCAATGTTACGAGGGAATCATCGCTCTGTTTAGTCGACGTCAGCCAACGAGCTGACCTCGACGCGATGCCAACGGTTCGACGCTCGGACATTGGTTAACGTGTACATACATATACGTATACGTGTATGTAGACACGTGCTCACTTAAAAATTGTAATATTTATTACACAACGCGTTGAAAATGAAACGGTTATTTGTCGGACGAAATGAAATTGATTTTTCGACTGAAGGAAACGCTGCTGCTGCTGCTGCTGCTGCTGCTGCTGCTGCTGCTGCTGCTGAGAGTAACCACAAGAAACACAACGCCCTACGGACTATATCTATACAAACTATACAGAGAGACTGCAACGTCCAGTGGCATTTTAATTAAGGTTATACGCGTCGTTCGTGGCGGTTTACCGCAGCGTTTAAACTTACAAAGCGATACATCCGACTCGATGATACGCTAGCTAACCCGGCCTCGAAGACGGGAAGAACGGTTCGAGCATTTCCGTTTCGACAGATTGCTCAAGTTCGTCCTATTGCAAATTGTTTGTTTTCTACCGATACCGGTGGATCCGCGTTTTAAAACTTTTCACACGCGTTTCTCTGTTGCAGGATGATCGTTCGTTCAAGCCTGCTGTTGGCAGCGACGATCGTGTTCACGTTCGCCGACGATTCCTCGTCGAACAGCCTTCTGTCCGAGAAACGCGGCCCGATGGGCTTTCAAGGAATGCGCGGTAAGAAGGATTTTGCATCGTTGGAACACGACCAATTGTCGAAACGGACACCTATGGGCTTTCAGGTATACATATATGTAGAAAATCAATTTTCCGAGGATTCTTGGAAAAATTCACGATTTTTCCGTATAATCATCCCCGTATCTCACAGGGGATGCGAGGAAAGAAGGATTCGATAACGGGTGAAATTCAACACGAACTTCTCTCGGAAGACGCTAATAAACGGGCACCAATGGGTTTTCACGGTTTGAGGGGTAAAAAGGATAGTACCAGTCCTTACTTCGATGATTCGTACGTTCCGGTTCCGGGCAACATGTACGAGAAGAGATCGCGCTACAAACAGGATGAACATTATAAACGCGCTCCGATGGGATTTCAAGGGATGAGGGGCAAGAAATCTCTCCAAGAGGTAAATGCCTGTATTGCGTATCGATTGAAATATTCTTCGAAATATATACATATACTATAGATATAGATATAGATATAGTATATGTATATGTAAGTAGATAGCTGTTTCGTTGTTACTCTTTATTTATTGATTGTACCGTTACCAAGCGGGTAAAAATACTTGCTGTCTTGGTCTGACACGATATGTACCCCGTGTTGCGTTGCGTGTAACACGGACAGATCTCGAATGAAATTGAGAAGCAGACTGGGACAGAGTTGGAAGATTCGAAAGGTGCGGAAACGTACTCGTTCGATTATTCGGAAGACTACGAGACGAGAGTGCCAGCGACGGGATATCAGCAAGGTGTGCTGCGCGACAAGAAAAACAACGAAATCGTCGTCGGGGAATGGGAGAAAAGGGCTCCCATGGGATTCCAAGGAATGCGTGGCAAAAAAATCATTCTCGACGCGATACAAGAACTAGAGAAACGAGCAGCGATGGGTTTTCACGTTAGTATTTTCATACGGTTCACCCGTAGCTTCTCAACCCTAGCTTCCGAATCGATGCTTCCTTTCTTCGATGTTATTCTATCGGAACTTGTACCTAAACTTGGCAGGGAATGCGTGGTAAAAAGGATACATTTGTTAATTACGCCGACTACCCGATCGGTCCGTTCGGTTACGCGAAGAGGAGTGCGGAGGACTTTGACGAGGGAGAAGTTAGCGAATCGTTCAAGAGGGCTCGGATGGGTTTTCACGGAATGAGAGGTAAAAGAGACGCAACGCGGATTTACGGGAGCAACGCGGGCATCGGAAGAACAACGATAGGCCATCAAGGTAATGGACTATCAAGACATTCTTGCGATTTTTCCTTTCGTTTCTTTTCGCTTACGACTTATTTGTCGTCTCTGCAGGAACCAACGACCGAGGAAACCAAGTAGTCGCGTATGAGATTGAAAAACGATCGCCCCTCAGGTATCTTGGAGTTCGGGGTAAAAAGAATCCACGATGGGAGCTTCGGGGAAAGTTCGTCGGAGTGAGAGGGAAGAAATCATCGTCGGTACAAGACCGGCTTGTCTTCTAACGCGTTCTTCTATATTCTATATTCGATGTTCTATGTCGTCGAAACGAATAAATTGCGATTAAAAAATCCTCAAGGTCAATAGGTAAAATCCAACGATGCGCGCATTCGCATACCGCTCCGTATCCGTACCTACACATTGTCCATGTGTCTATGTAGTCGGGCCAACTTGAAACAAAACTGTACAAACAAACGAATTTTCTCTATCTTACCACCGTGTTATTTTCCTTTTTCTTTCAGATATTCAGCGATTGTATTGCGCCGTTTGTCGGTGACGATGATTCCAACGGCACCGATATAACGGCAGCGTAATATATTGGACTTTCTGTTTCAACTTATATTCAAAAGTTGTCCCACTTAACAATGGAAACGCAAGAGCAAGGTATATCACGATTTTCCTCACCGGTCTAACGTCTACGGTCGTCTTCGTTCTCGTCGTTTACACTACATCCCGGTCTTTTCCTACCAGACAATGTTTCGTGTCTGCAATTCGAAATACTAATAAATAGAAAAATAAACACTTATTTCCATGTAATATTCGTTTCGTTTACATAGTAAGGATTAACGATACATAGCAAGGATTATCATGTACCAAATCTAATAATTACCTTCGACATCGATCATAAAGTAGCCTATTTTTTTCTGTTACTACACGCTTGAAACTTTTCACACCAACTGACCGCCAACCGACACCCACGTCACTTCGTCTTCGAATCTCCTTCTTTTGTAAGAACGCCAGGAAATCTGAGCATACGAAAGAAACAAAGATGTATTGTCGTGATAGATAGGAATTCTATTTTTCTCTGCACATTCAAGTATCGATATGTGCATAAAATAAACGTTATTGATAAAATAACAGAGTATACTATGTTTCGTTAACAGTGTGGTTCGAACGAATACAATATCGGTGCAACAATTATACAAATCGATCTTATTTTCGACCTTCGACGTTCGATATCTTTTTATCTTTAAAAATAATTGAGCAGATTTCTTCTCTACTATTTCCTGTATATATAATTTATTTATTATTATACATTTATATAGATTTCTTATTATTATCATGATCATGATCATCATCACCATCGTCGTCGAAAAGGACGAGTTTTCATCTTCGATAACTTTTAGTATCTGTGTAATCATTACTTTCCATACTCAACCTTCATTGTGAATGATTTATGACTTCGTATCCCTACGAGATTTTCCACGTATACAAAGCATTTTCGATGAATCAAAAAACAGTTATGTTACAACTACTTATCGTATAAGAAATATTTTGTGGATACATTTTATGTCTCCGTTTACCGACAAATAACCAAATACATATCAATACAAGCAACGTATTGGTTTTATCATTTATTGCTGGGACCGATACTTACATCGCAATATCGTATTAAATTACAATTATTCACACTGAATTCAATAAAAAATATTAAACGACACTAGCGATGGAGAGTTAACGAAGATACAAATAGTGTAAATGATTCGATGTGAAAGGTATCTAATAATACATCCTTGATGATGTACGTTGCCTCCTGGTATTTTTCGTACTTTTTTCCCTCTTTTCTCAAAGATATCAAATATGCGATGCTTTCCGGAACGCGCATTAGCGAAAAAAGCATTAGATAGTAGGTTTATTCTATATGTTGTCGGTGTTTAAATGAACCAATTTAGCTTCCTCAAGCAGAAGATTTGTAGTTCAAGGAACGTAGATTAATACCCTCGATTGGTTGAGAAACAATAATAATAAGATCATCGTTAAAATCATAATTGTTTGCAACGGTTCACACTGTATCCCGTCATGCGTAACCTGTTTAGTTCAGTTTGGACAACTCTCACAACGTTATACCAGCAGCTTTCGTCTTGACCAAGCATTCAGATTAAAGCTGAAAGAACGTAGATTAATCCTCTGGCATTAACAATAACAATAAACGACAAGAACACTGTTAAAATCGCATTTAATCGCGGAATACCACTATTTTTTCGACCGGTGGCGCCACCCGTGGCGAGTCGCTGAAACTGCTAGCCAAATTATACCGACAGGCGAGTGAAAATTCCTAATGATGGAAAAAAGCGAATATCTCAATAATTAAGCTCTTAAAATGAACGTCGTTAGTCTGAAATTATTCCTGACGACTAAATGCGTGGACCCAATACTACAGAACCCCAGAATTAGTAAAATTATTTATGGCTGTATCAACGCTGACCCTTATGGAGCGGCAACCCGGTTGCCAAAACGTTTCTATCGCATTTACTCCGCTAAAAGGGCATGATTCTTCTTCGTTTTGCATTAGATACAACGTTTGAACAGCGTAGATTACTATTCCCTAACGGCTGGAAACCAGTCATTACAAGAACATTGTTAAAATCGAATTTGTTTGCAACGGTTGACACTGTATTTTGTCCTGCGTACCCCGGTTAGTTCACTTTGAATAGCTCTGACACCGTTATACGGATAACTTTCGTCCAGACAAAGTACCCGATTTATAGCTGAAAGAACGTAGATTAATCTCCTGTCATTGAAAATAACACTAAACAACCAGAACACTGTTAAAATCGCATTTAATCGCGGAATACCACTACTTTTTTCACCGGTGGCGCCATCCGTGGCGAATAGCTGAAACTGCTAGCCAATTATATGGCTAGTAGTTTGAGTGAATTGCCACGGGTGGCGCCACCGGTCGAAAAATATAGTGGTATTCCGCAATTAAATTCGATTTTAACAGTGTTCTGGTCGCTTATTGTTATTATCAATAACAGTGGATTAATCTACGTACTTTCAGCTACAAATTGAGTGCTTCAGCTAAACGAAAGCTGTCCGTATAACGATGTACGAGCTGTCCAAAGTGAACTAACCGGGGTACGCATGACCAGATACAGTGTCAACCGTTGCAAATAAATTGCGATTTTAACAGTGTTCTGGTCGTTTATTGTTATTGCCACTGACAGAAGATTGATCTACGTTCTTTCAGCTACAAGGTGAGTGCTTGGCCAAGACGAATCAACCGTTATAGGGTACTAATCTACATTCTTTAAACTTCGAATGTAATGCATGACGAAGAAAAGTGTTGCCTGTTTAGTGGTTATGTAATTGCAGCAGTTTTCGATCGGATTTACGCTGCTAAACGAGCATCAGTTTTCCTCGTCATGGATTACATTCGAAGTTTAAAGAACGCAGATTAGTACTCTCTGGCAGGTGGGAACCAGTAATTACAAGAACATTGTTAAAATCTCAATTGTTTGCAACGGTTGACACTTTATGTCACGATGCGTGCACCGTTTAGTTCACTTTAAATAGCTCTTCCAACGTTCTGTGGACAAGTTACGTCTCGATCAAGCATTCAGTTTGAAGCTAAAAGAACGTAGATTAATCTCCCGTCATTGAAAATAACAATAAACAACCAGAACACTGTTAAAATCGAATTTAATTGCGGAATACCACTATTTTTTCGACCGGTGGCGCCACCCGTGGCAATTCGCTCAAACTGCTAGCCAAATTATATCGACAGGTGAGTGAAAATTTCTAGTGATAGAAAAATGCTAATATCTCAGTAATTAAGCACTTAAAATGAACGTCATTAGTCTCACATTGTCCCTCAGGGCTTAATGCATGGACCCAATAATGCAGAACCCCTGAATTAATAAAATTAGTTATGCCTGTATTACCGTAACCTCTTACGGGCCACAACCTGATTGCAAAATATTTCGATCGCATTTACACCGCTAAACGGGCATGATTCTTCTTCGTTTTCCATTAGATACAACGTTTAAAGAACGTAGATTACTATTCTCTAACGGCTGGACACTAGTAATTACAAGAACATTGTTAAAATCACATTTCTTTGCAACGGTTGACATTGTATCGCGACATGCGTACCCCGGTTAGTTCACTTTGAATAGCTCTTACACCGTTGTACGGATAACTTTCGCGTAGACAAAGTACTCGATTTATAGCTGAAAGAACGTAGATTAATCTCCTCTCTTTGAAAATAACAATAAACAACCAGAACACTGTTAAAATCGCATTTAATCGCGGAATACCACTATTTGTTTGACCGGTGGCGCCATCCGTGGCGCATAGCTGAAACTGCTAGCCAATTATATGGCTAGTAGTTTGAGTGAATTGCCACGGGTGGCGCCACCGGTCGAAAAATATAGTGGTATTCCGCAATTAAATTCGATTTTAACAGTGTTCTGGTCGCTTATTGTTATTATCAATAACAGTGGATTAATCTACGTACTTTCAGCTACAAATTGAGTGCTTCAGCTAAACGAAAGCTGTCCGTATAACGATGTACGAGCTGTCCAAAGTGAACTAACCGGGGTACGCATGACAGGATACAGTGTCAACCGTTGCAAACAAATTCGATTTTAACAATGTTCTTGTAATGACTGGTTTCCAGCCGTTAGGGAATAGTAATCTACGCTGTTCAAACGTTGTATCTAATGCAAAACGAAGAAGAATCATGCCCTTTTAGCGGAGTAAATGCGATAGAAACGTTTTGGCAACCGGGTTGCCGCTCCATAAGGGTCAGCGTTGATACAGCCATAAATAATTTTACTAATTCTGGGGTTCTGCAGTATTGGGTCCACGCATTTAGTCGTCAGTAATAATTCCAGACTAACGACGTTCATTTTAAGAGCTTAATTATTGAGATATTCGCATTTTTCCATCATTAGGAATTTTCACTCGCCTGTCGGTATAATTTGGCTAGCAGTTTCAGCGACTCGTCACGGGTGGCGCCACCGGTCGAAAAAAATAGTGGTATTCCGCGATTAAATGCGATTTTAACAGTGTTCTTGTCGTTTATTGTTATTGTTAATGCCAGGGGATTAATCTACGTTCTTTCAGCTTTAATCTGAATGCTTTGTCAAGTACTACAATACACTGTTACCCCGGTTTTGTTAGCAAGGATGTACTCGTCTCTTGGTCAACAATGCCGCCTTGGGCTTGAATCAGCTCGAATAGAGAATTACAATTGATTACAACTGACACACAATTTTACAATCATTTGTCTAAGGGAATTTAGGCCTTGATCGTCCTTCTTCCCTCTATCCCCCATGGACGAAGCATAAACATAGATACAGATAATAAACTACATTTTTGATAGGGATGAAGTCGCGAGGCAAGCCGGATAAGCTGCTCTGTTCTCTGTATGGTACTGCACGCATGTGACGCCTCCACCCGCTACAGCTGTAGGAGAATTCCCCAGCACAGTCCCATTAGAAAAAGATGTAGGTACTTCAGTTATTGTACTCTCTCTCTCTCTCTCTCTCTCTCTCTGTCTCTATGTCGTCTTCCACCCTACCATAAGTCTATTCAAGTCTATTGTATATGCTTTGGAATCACTCCTAACCTCACCTAACCTGTACACGGTAACCTGTCATAATTTGTCAAACTACAAATTTTGCTGGGTAAGTTATTCTGTTTTTTTTTGTTCACGAAAGTATATATTAGTTTTACATGAAACTTATTTATCTGTTGTACGTAAGGTGTGTGTCCATTAAACTTCCAACATCGTATAGCCGTATAATTACACATACAAGTATGTAGGATGCGTACGCAATTGCTAAGTGTTGTCGCATACGATTGTTTGTTTACATATATAATGTATGTAGAATACATTGTTCGACGGGTATGTATTTGATTTCTTGAAAGGAATCGTCTGGCGATGATTTACGATAGTCCTCTGGTTAACCGTTAAATGAATGCTTCCGTTGACGAATCCAGGGGTCGGTAAACATGGAATTGACACGTGTGCAAGTATTTATTTCCGACTACGAATCAAGAAGAAATATAATAAAATGAAAAAAAGTATTTTATTCGAGAAAAGTAATTGATTTTGGTCATTTTGAAGCGTTTGTTTTATACAAATATAAGAAACATCGACACGCACTTGTCATTCTCGTGGCATTCGTTTTATATTTTCCAAGCATTCTGTTGTATCGGTTCGACGAGTATTCTCGTACAGACGACGGTGTAGAACTTTGAACTTTTTGCCGTGTCTACATACCTAGAACCACTACTGTATTTTCGTCTAATAGCATACGACAGGAGTACGTGACGTCTAACGTGCATATCCATACACACAAACATACATCTAATCGTAAGCCGGATTTTAAGCAAAATTGTAACACCATTTGAACAGTACACGAAACATTTGTTATATAGGTAGCTATTACATGTTGTGTAATGTGAGATAATTGTCCGACCAGTGTCAGCGATATTCGTCCGCGTGTTGTTCGATTCAACGTGAATTGGAAAGAACGTTATTAAAACGGTGTTTTACACATATGTACTTCTATCCGCCCCAAGGAAAATATACTTGTCCTTGTTTCGCATAATGACTTGGCATTTCGGGGTAATCATCTCCGAAACGAAGAGCGTACGTTTTCGTGTTCCTTTTTCCACCCCACGGATTAAACGGCACTTTCTTGCTCTGCCTATGTTTCATTCTCTTCTCGGGTTTTAATCTGCATATCTGTAGGAACCTGGAATATCGTAGAAAATATAGAAATGCCTGTGTAAAATAATATGTATACCGACTAAATATTGACGACAGACAGTTTCCGTTTTTTGTTTCCTACTTTACAATCGAAATTTGAAGCTGACAAGAGAATAAGTAGGTACGGTAGTAAACGTCGATATTTGCATATTACGGACCAACTGGTATCGTTGTTGGTAATGATCTCCTCTCCTGTCGTGCAATCGTATCCACTTGTCTCGTTGTTTACACGAAATGGTATTCGGTACGGAAGATTGTTGCGTTTCCTGTCCCATTGGTCGTCTACTATTGCACGCATTTCGTCGTTTGTTCTTCCGCTGGACTTTGCCGTGTCCTCCTCTCTCTTGGAGGAAAGTTCACCTTAAACACGGATTAATCGAGAAACATTACGTCTGCGTATTTAGACTGGTGTTGACTTATAGATTTCCATTGTAGATTTTACCGACCTATCGCCGTGACGCCAAGCACAATAGATCCGTCGTCCAGTTTCGGCAGCGTCGTGAGCCGCTGTCGATCTCGATCGATCGTTTCTCGAGCTCTTTTTCCACCCCATCTATCCCATCTAAGTCTGTTGCTTTCTGGCATTCTTTTGACATCGTAACCATCGACAACGACCGTGCCCCGATTATTTCGACCGTACACCAGGCGACTCCGTTTGGTTTGTGCGGCAATCTGGTCCGAACGGGAGAACGGTTTTCCTCGTTTACCGCCCCCCTCGTCGAACGGTAGTCGAAACAGTGGATGAATGGTAGGACTGTTCAATCTATGCGAACTTATCATGTTCTTTTCCCGCCAATAAGTTCTCTGATCCGTTTTCTCTTGGGCAGAATCCAAAAATTCCTTTGATCGAAGATACATAGATAGATTTTTGAGATAGCCATTGGCTCGATTTCAACGAATCGAGCAAGAAAATTGATGGAAATAGACGTTTTCGATACGGATACGATACGCCTATATCAAGCTCACCTTGTTTTTAGGGACAGCTTGCCAATATCCCATGGTTTCTCTTCTCTTTGAAATAATCATTTTCACGTTCGGCTCGTTTCCTCGATTATAATCGATTATTTCTTTGTCGTTTTCTGCGTTACTATTGTCGCCTGAAATAAAATGCTCTCGTGCTCACGTATCAGTCGTAAATACTCACCTGTTTCGTTCGCTTGCTCGCTCTCGTGTCACACGACGCGAATTCGAAAGATATTTCTCCTCACCTGTTTGAATACTGCTCGGACCGGTTGCCTTTCCGTTTCTTTCCGTCGCGAGCGATTCCTCGTTCCATTCTTTCGATGCGTCCATCTCGGATTTCCCGGTCTGATTATCAATGATATCGTTGGCTCCATTCTCTAATAGCGCTACGTCCGACCAAGTACTTTCGCTCTCGAGATTACCGACTATTGCGCGTATCAAGAGGCCAACGATTGAAAAAACCAGCCACATGTCTGATGGAAGGAAAGGTTTGAGAACATGATACAAGGAACGTTAAAAGTTATTAAAAGGAATCACATCGTGCACGGCACGGACATGTAACGTTATTCTCTGTACGTTTTGTTGAAGCAAAACATGCAGATACATTACATACAAAAATATTCTGTGCCTATGCATGTACAAATATTATACATACATATGTAGATATAGATACATATGGATATGTATACGGTATGGTACCATAGCTACATAGAACTTGTACACGCGTTCATATTCACGCATGTATACATATATGTACATGTATACATATACATATGTACAATATGTATAACGCGTAAGGCAACGTTTCTCTTTAATATACTATACGTACTATGTACCTATGTAGGTATATTCTGCCGAGGTATTTATTAAATCCGAAAAATAAGGAAAGGAGGAAGGAAAAGGAGGGTGCGGTTGCAGGTCAATTGCCATGATAAGGTTATTACCTGAGTTTTTCTGTGCTTGTCTTGGCGCTCGGATAGCAAAACGGTAAACTTGAAATATTTTCTTTCTATCACTTTTCGAACGTCATTCAGATGTATCTGTTTGTTCGAATAAAAATGGGGAATGTACTTTTGCGGAGGCAGGGTAAGAAGGCTAAACCAATTTCTTTGACATATCACGTAGTTTTGTTCTACACAGAGACAACAACTGGAAACTCTTTATGGAAAGAACAGCGTAAGCACGCTGCAATCCTCTCTATGAAAAATAATCTGCTAATTGCGCGCTGCTATTAAAGTCGCATTAGTCGTATTCCCCAGAAAAGAAGTTACTAGGTACTGGTATACATACAATATACATACATGCATACATACATATGTATATGTGTCGCACAAGTATGTATAATACATATAGTACAATACAATCAGATTTTGTTGGAGAATATTTGAAAATTTCAAAGCATATTTTTCTATTTTCCAGACACTAAACAACAATTACAATACCGATCTGTCACGTTCCCAACGGAGTCGCAACATTTCGAAGATCAATAGGAGATCAGAACTGTTCGCTTGCGATACGAATCCGATAAAATATTCTAATAATTTTTCGTTCAGAGAGAAGTTAGAGAGAAACAACGCGTTTTTGTCTTTTTCGTCTTTTTCGTCTTTTTCGTCGATCGAGGCTTTTACAATGATGATCGAACGACGGGATCGTGCACGGGGGAGGAAAGGGAAGAAGTGCACTTTCGTCAGCAGGCGTGTTAAAATTTAGTTAGCGACGCTTTCAAACCTGTCATCGAAGTACTTATTCGTTTTCACAAACTATTTGCATCCAGTCCTCTACATGAGACATTTGAAATTCTCTTTCTCTGGTTCTTTACTCGTTTGTTCGCATTTGCCAACTGTTTTCTCGTTGGAATATTATCAAAAATTGTCTGCAATCCGCAACATTTCCGAATCACTTTGATTTGTTCAGGTTACTTTGCAATCAATGCGAACATACATATAAAGTATAAAGGATATGTATAATACTACACCGTTCAGTCAAGATGTTTCGTAGCTGCTTCGAAAAATGTAAATGTCGTCTCGCGTAGTTATCCGGAACTCGATTACACCGCACATAATCACAGTAATCGAAACGATCGAAACTTGTAAGAATTCGTGAGGCAACTGCTTTTCACGTTTCACGTTGCCTAGTTTTCTTATGATTTTTTAAGGGGATCTCGATTTACAACTGTGTATATTAAGCATAGAAATTTGCAAAGAGTGCTCGGTGTTCCCGAGTGACCGCGAAAGGGTGGGACGCGCAATGACTGAACTTTTATCCGGATTGACGCGATAATTCAACATAGCAAGAGTATTAGAAACGAACATGATTTGCCTGTTTCATTTCATGTCTCGTACACGTATCACGATGGGTATGCTGGCACTTACCTTTGAGTCGGTTTTTTTTTTTGCGATATCGAGATATGTACAATATAAGTATAGTATATCGGCCTCTCCCTCGACGCAGCAACTACGATCGGCTGAATGTCCCCAGTATCGAGGAAACGCGCGTTTTCACTGTTAGTTTTCGCTATAGAAGAAATCGTATAGAAGACGTCTAGGTATATGCTTTGCTATGGTCTGGCATGCTATGCTAGATGACACGCGCGGGCGGGTGGACGAGCGACAGAGTGGATACCTGGGGGGCGCGAGCTCCAGTAAAATAAGGTGTACAGTGGACAGTAACGACACGCGTCGCTCTTCTTATACCCGCCACGTGGTTCTTCAGCGCACTCTCCGCTTGCTTGAAAAAATCAACCCCGGCTAAAAAGCCATCCCTTTCACCCTTCTACCGCTCTCGATACGAGTTAACTCCTTCTACTTCTTTTTCTCTGCGATTACAATTATCAACGAATGCACTCTCATTTGTCCGGTATTTTAGAATATTTCCAAAAGAAAACACTTTTCGTATTTTGATTGTTTCATTTCGTGTTCGGTTAGATATGCGCCGCGTTTCTTCCGATGACAGACCGTTGGATGGTTGATGTTTAAATTATAACTGCGATATAGTAGATACAATAGAATCATAGAACGCGTAACAGTCATCGAAACCGGAATAATTCATAGATATTAGAACATGTTTTATTGCACGTATGTAGAAACCATCGAATCGAATATGCGGTAGAAATGGGGGTAGCATATGTGCGTAACGGTTAAAAATGTCTTGCCTCGCTGTAATTTACTCTGAAAGATTGACCCGGGTTGCGCTCGTAAATTTTCATTCTGTGCTAGCCGATGATTGAAATTTCAAACTCGACAAGAGAGTTAATATGTGCGCGGTGGTAACCTACATCTCGCGTCAACGTCGGTTTCAACGACCTATCTCAAGTGAAGCGAGTATTAACCGTATTTTTGTTAGTGGTCAATTTTATTCGAGCGAACCACATATTATGTATATACAAGTAATGTAAAATCGATAACAGAATCCATCGGACGTCGCGTACAGTACATAGACTATAGGGCGGTATAGAGAATCGTAATTTCCCGCGACAGCAGTCGTGATGCTTAAAATTGTTGTCCTTAAAATTGAACGCACAGTTGAAATTATTACGGTAGAGCGGGCAAGATCGCGGTATTAATTCCAGTCGGTAGACTTATCCGGTCGAAATCTGACGTCTCACCGGCACATCACGTACAAACATTCTTTCATGGTGTAGATCGTTGGTATTTGTTGATCGTTAAGCGAAATTGTTACGGACCTGAAACAACAACGACAATCGAATTATTCGTTTAATCGATGATTTAGTTCGGACGTTTAAAGTGATATATTTACGTGAGAATTTCGTTTCAAGGTGGATGCAGCTGCTTTTCGCGAATGTTGTAAGAACAGAAATTGAATTGAAAGAAGTGACATGCAAGACGAGGGGAGAGACATGGTCGTATTTCAGCGTGAAGCATTTCTATCAATTGCAGGCTGAGAAAAATCGAAATCTAGGTGTATCCTCTTGCCTCTGACCACGTAGAAAGGATCGGATTCGGACAACAATCGATCCAACGTTTCTCGTTCATCCGATGATCTTGTTCGCTTTAGTCTCACTGTTATTCGGTCGAAATCATCGGTACACTCTTTAGATTTACATTCAGAAGTCTCTGTGAACTCTTTAAGAATATGTTTGGCGTCGCGATCGACCGTTGATAGTTGGGATCTTGATCCGTTCGGTATCCGTCTCTTGGACAACGTATCGACGTTTACCCGATATTCACTTTTCTTTCCACGGGAAATAAAGTAAGGTTGTTCGAATATGTCTAATATACCCGAGTGTGTATTCCGTCGTTCGAGATTGTACGTCGATGCGGTGTCGGGTATCGTTTTATGAATATCTTCTTTGTGCCACCACCGATTTCTTTTCGTTTCTCTCGTGGAGTCATTGTTCGCGACACTGGAATCGTGCCGCTTTGTTCTTGAAAATTTCATCCAGGCGTTGTTCCACGTATCGAACAGCTCGGTGGGTTCGGGTCCAATCGGAGTATCTTCCCGCGACTTATTCGCAGTATCCCTCGAACAGCGTATCCTTTTGCCCCTCGAAAGAACGAAGGGATCGTTGACAGACTGGAAACGAAGCGGCAGGTTGTCCGCGTAATTATTCGAAATTTCGATCCAACTCGGCTCGTCTACGTAAAATGGATTCTCGACCTTCCAACCTTGTTCTCGGTGGTAGGCGCATTTCTCCGAGTTGTACGATGCAACGTGATCTTTCTTCACGAACGGATAATCCCGTACGTTCACCGAAACGATTATAGTCGGATTTGTGGCGCGATGCTGAAGATAATACCACCACCTTGCCGTTGGCTTACCCGTGTCTGAACGATCGTACTGCGGACTCCTGTATGCGTAAAGTTTCGTTCAATTTCAGATATATTTCAACCGTACGGCTCCCAAGTGGGCATTCGATTAACTTACCTGGTCGTGGTGGCAAGAAACGATAACGGAAGTGATGACTGGAGGAAAGCTCGCGACCCAACGGTATCGTCGACGTCGAAACGGGTGTTGGCTGATCGCGAATCACGTTTCTCCCGCTGCCACCAAAGTTCTTTCAAACCTGTGTCTTGTGACGATTTCCGAAGAATACTCCCTGTCGCCTACGAAATACTCATTTTCGAATCGAAGCAATAATGATTTCTCGCACCGTCGCGAAACGAACAACAAGGAAAGAAAGGGCGGAACAGAGATGAAGGAGTGAAGTGGGAACGCGACTCCAGGGAGGAAAGTGTTTTTCCGCGCGTACGAAGATTCATAATTTCAATCACCGACTAAAACTTTTATCGAGTAAGGTCGTTGCAAGTTTGAAGGTCTCTGCTCGTTAGAATACACCAGTTTTCCGGTAGGATGAATAATAAGATACTTAACGTAACACACAATAATTAGAGTACTGATATCGCGAAATAGTGGACAAAGTAAAATACACATATGTTATGTATTAGTGTAACTGGTGGATCGTCGTCTCTTCGTAACACGTACCGCATCGATGTCGCAGGTCGCCGACGATAAAAGTACTGTCGCGAGTAGTAATCTCTTCATTCCTATACACTCTGTCTAAAACGTATCGACATAGAGATGTACGCGTATGTATACTTGTTGGAATTATTCGAGTTCCACGAAAGACACGTTGTGTGTGTGTGTGTGTGTACCTGTTGTTCGGAACGATCTCGCGCGGTCACCGCTTACGGACAAGAAATGACCACGGCGAGATCGGTCCTCCTGTATTTATGGTATTTCTCCGTGTGTCCAGCGAGTGACCTCGTTGCGGTCCAAAGATTAGGAGGATTGCACAGGGAATTGGCAATGTCACCGGTCGCCGTCACCGGTGTAGCCCACTTCAATCACTTCACCGCTATCCGTGTGCTTTTCTTTCGCTTTTCTTTTCTGCGTGTAACCTCCTGCCCGTGGAAAAAGTTCACGTCATAGGGGAAATGTGTTACGATCTTCTGAACGACTTGTCGCAAACCAAAAAATACCTACATCTCATCTTCTATCCGACGCGGGATAAAGACACCTGATAAATTTCATCGTGTATATGTATGTACAACATACATACATACATACGTGTAGTATACCTATGATACGGTGTTGTAACACTTGTAACTTGTAAGGTATCATGTACACACTTATTACTGTCCTTGGTAACGAAAATGCCAGTCGGAAAGATACGAATCGACGTACAGGACGCACACGGTGATACGAGACAGAACGTTTTTCATTCCGCGTAACAAAATCGTGAGAACTTAACGACGCGCGAAAAAACGCTTTGTTGCGCTTAATACGATTACGACGTCTTACAAAATCTAGTCAAGCCAGAACTGTCCAACCGTGAGAGAGAGAGAGACTGTATTTAACGTCGTTCGCCAAACTAAATCGTCCAAACGGCGACGACAACGAGACAAGGGAAAATTCGTTTGCACTAGTTGGGACGGAGCCTGCAAGTTTGCCCCTTCTGTTCGTATCGCAATCCTACGCGCGTAAATTTTACACACGCGTATGTAATAGGGGGCTTTTCTCACGAAAGCTCCCTACGCGTAATCGGCGATACGATGCTCGGACCAAAAATGGAATACGTGTTAGTCACTATCCGATATTTCGTACAAGTGTCTATAAAGTTACATCTGCCCTTCTTTCAGACTACGAGCGCGTTAATCCTCTACATCGGAGGGCACAAATAAATAGGATAAAATGGTAGGAGAATTTTTTCCTCGTTTCGAGCAGAATCTAATAAACCTTCGAGGCAGTATGTGCCTACATACATATGTAGTTGATACATGTAGTCACATACATATAAGTAAGTGACGACGAGTGTCTTATTTTTGCTTGTTTGTAGAAATTCCGATTTCTAGGCGATGGAGATTGTCCCGATTGGCTGCTGGCCGAAATTAATACATTATCACGTATGGTACGTGTTCGAAGTTTCAAGTTTCATCCTATAGCCCCTATAGAACGAGGATCTTGAGCGTTTCCATTGGAACGGTAAATCGGGGTTTGACAGTCTTAAATATTTTTGTTTCTTTCGCAGACGTCTATTAAAATCAAACTATTGGCCCAGACAGTTGCAAAGTACCTTGCGGATGGGGAACTCGACGTAAGTGGAAATCTCAGTTTGAATTAGTTAAGTCGGCTTTGAACGGTTCGTGATCGGTGTACATACATATGTGTATCTATTTGTTTCGCTGCTAAAACCGTACGCTGGCGTATACATATACCTACCGAGAAACGACTATCTTTTTGGAATGCCAACGGTAAACATTTTGCGTGCTCGAGCTAAAAAATCTCTCTGGAAAAACTTACGTCTCTACATAATTTGGAAAAGGTGTCGGAAAGAACGGTAGAAAATAGATAGATCTTTCTGTCTTTTCGTTTACGTTCGCATGAAAAACAAAAATTCGATTTTGGAAGAACACCAACGGTATAAAGAGTGACGGCTGCTAGCACGCCTTCGCGAAACCTCTAATCTCTTGGTGGCGCGTAACGCAATATATTAAACCGATGCTCTGCTGTACTACGAAACGCGAAAGGATCTAGCCAGAAATAGATAGAAATGATGCACCTAGATGCAAGAAACGAACGTCTGTGGTGCCTCATAACGCTTTCTTTTCCTTGTTTGTCTTTCAGGAGGAAAAGGTACAGAAAATTACTCAAGATGCTAAAGTCGGTGAGTGCAGTCGAAATCATCTTGAACTTTTTCCATCATCTTTCTCCTCAACATTTACGATACATATCCACGTGTAATTTCTTCGTGTCCTTTCACTCTTTGTCTCTTTGTTCTACAGAGCCGAGCGACGCGAAAGCCATGATAGCCGCACTCGAATTGATATTCGCATCATCCGCGCGATACGGTGTTTCTGCTGCTGACTTGAGTAGCGAACTTCAACAGCTGGGCCTACCTCGAGAACACAGCGCGGCAATTGCTCGACTGCATACAGACAATAGCCCTCGGATCACAGATGCTCTGTCGTCGCAATCGCTAAGAGGTAATCAGTATTGAAATTTCAAATGGACCGAGAAACGCGATTCAACGCATTTTCATACATCAGCTTTGACATTTAGTCGGTCCGATCATGAGCATTGAAATTGATCGTACATTCATAATGTATATTCAATTTCAAGATGTTCATTTTACTTTGTTGCAGAAGGAACATTTGCTCGTGCAGTGATTAATTTCATGTTTATTCATACTTTTCTCCCGTCGATAGTCTCTCTCTCTCTCTCTCTCTCTCTCTCTCTCTCTCTCTCTCTCTCTCTCTCGTTACATTACACGAAAGCTTACAATTAGTCTTTCCGTGTTCTTGCCAGATAATCGAGATACATTTCAATATTGTAAATTGGTTAGTCACATTTCTATATGCCGGCAGGCGGTACAAAATGAAATACAAAATACTAAATGATATGATATATCCAGTATAAAAGCTACTGTTTTTGCAGTTAGTCGATTGGCAGCGATCCACGTGTTACCTTGCGATAGTTCGGCCCCGTTCGCCACGGTATCTCTCAAGTTAAGTAAATTAGGCGGCACCGGAGATGATTCTATCGTCAATATCTCGCAGGATGATGCACAAGTCTTACTTGCAGGTAAAAATGTTTCTTTTTAACATATCGATACGATAGAATTGCAATTTATCTTCCATTTGTTTTATCTTTTTTCAAGAATTACGGAGAGCAAAATCGTTAATGGAAAATCTCTAATTGTAAGTGTTACGCGTCCAAGGATTCATCGTATATGATACTTTTATGTTGGTGATCATAATAATGCACACTGCATCGATTACAATAGTAATACATTCATGTATAACAGTATAAGGTTGGGAGTAATGGAATCTGATATAGTTTCAGTCTTGGTATAATTTCACTTATAATCGATCAGAATAAATAAGCAGATATAATTGTTAGATTTTTATAATTGATAAGTGTTATTATGAATTGTAGAAATGAAATGCAATAAATGATATATTGGGAAATATGTAAGAAAGGATGCATAGTTTGGCAAAAAACATCAATACATACTACTTATGGTATAATGTATATTTATTATATTATCATTTTTGTCATGTAGTATAACATTGGTATTTCTATAATAATAGTAGTAATAATAATAATAATAATAATCTTCGTCGTCGTCGTCGTCGTCGTCGTCGTCGCCATCGTCGTCGTCGCAGTAATTAATAATAATAATAATAATAATAATAGTAATAATCATCATCATCATAGCACCATGAACACTCCACAGTAAATATGTATTTTAATTCGTTATTCGAAAATCGCGACGAATCGATGCGTTTCAAGGAGTGAGAACCGCGATTCGCGATACGTATATCAGAATTATGAAAGACTGCGGACTCTTTATATTTAGGATGCAACCTCGTAAGAAAGAAAAAGAAAGTACCCGTCCGTGAATGACTAGATGGCTTGAAATTAGGACACGAGAATTTCTGACTAGAAAGAAAACCGTTACCCATCGAAGATTTCGCAAGGAGTAAATATACTTTGATCGACGATTGTTTCGTTCAAACGTGTTCAATCAAACATTGATCGATATTACGGATTTTTCACCTGATCGAAACCACACGAAGATATTTACCCCATTGAAATCAAGGCAATCAGATATTGAGCACTTCGATAAAACTCATTGCCCGGCTCTTCTTTAAATTGACATTTAAATAAATAATCGTATCACTGTTCTCACACCTCATAAGCACCGTTAATTTTAGGGGTTCGTACAGGTGTTGCGGCTTACACTTTGTAGTTCCTTAGCGTTCTTTCTTGTTTAGCACGAGTTTCTTTTAGTTTTGCGTCCGTATTTACGTGTATCTAAGTGTTTATGTATCCATTCAGCCATCCATTAGTTTGCTTGTGTGTATGCACGCACGCACGCACGCACGCACGCGTGTTCCTCCGTGTGTGTATCTATTCACGTATACGTGTGTGTATGTGTATGTATATTCTCTTTCCTCCAGCACCGTTATATTTTATTTAATTTGTCTTCTTAGTGAAAGCTCGATTTTAATATATATATGTATATGTATATACTTTTTCTTCTTTCATTTTAAATTCGTCCCTCTTTCTATAAGGTGATATAGGCGTGTACCTGCTTCGTACATGTCATTTTACCAATCGATTATAGCTTTATTTTATTTATTTATTTGTTTCTTTATTTCTGTTAAATTCAATTTTATAATTTTAACATCCTACCTAAATAGCTGGTCTTTATTACTTGTCAATAAATAATACATAAATACATAGGTACATGCTTCATCGTCATCACACATTTACGCCTCCAAATTTGCATTTTCGAGCAAAGGTGTTCCTTGTGAACAGCGATAGATAATGACGACAATGATAATGATAATGATGACGATAGCGTTGAAAGTAACAACAACAATAACAGCAATAGTAATAATGCTGTTGGTCTTATTAGCCTTATTACCTATAATGGTATAGAGATAACAAAAGTAACAACGATAATGGATCTACTATTGACGGCATTGAATTGTGATACGTAATAATAGTAGTAGTATAGTAGTAGTAGTAGTATAGTAGTAGTAGTAGTAGTAGTAGTAGTAGTAGTAGTAGTAGTAGTAGTAGTAGTAGTAGTAGTAGTAGTAGTAGTAGTAGTAGTAGTAGTAGTAGTAGTAGTAGTAGTAGTAGTAGTAGTAGTAGTAGTAGTAGTAGTAGTAGTAGTAGTAGTAGTAGTAGTAGTAGTAGTAGTAGTAATGGTAGTATAGTAGTAGTAGTAGTGGTAGTAATAATAATAGTGGTAGGAATAATAGTAATAATAATGGTAATAATAATCACGATGATAATGATTCTTACAGTGACGATAACCACTTTGATGGCTATACTTAAAAGAATCAAGTACAATCTTACATGTATGTAGATGGTACATTTTGCATGGAAGGTTCATTATTGCCGTTTCGACTACGATTTAATTGCAGATTACTTAAACACCAAAACTCCATGATTTGTTTCTTACGCCGCAAAATATAGTTTCATTTTAATTTTGTGTAGTAATTCGCTATATCTCGCGCATCTACCAGCATTATAAAATAACAAGGAACGTGTTATTTTCGCCGTGTCGACATAAACTACAAACGCATGTCCAATGTACATGGAAATTAGTCTTTGTTTAAATTTGGATGGTTTAAGCTAAAATACAAGCGATACCGTTACACTGTACGCACATTTCTATTTCGAATTCTTTCCGTGAAATATTATCGACGAATTTTCGTCACCGTGTTTATTCATAATCGTTTCTAATACTTTTAACATCATCAGAAATAGTCATCATCACCATCATCGTTGTCTTTGTTCTCCTTCGTGGTTGTGGTCGTGGTCGTGGTCGTGGTCGTCGTCGTCGTTGTTGTAGTAGTAGTAATAGTAGTAGTAGTTGTTTTCGTCATCATTTTTATTCTCATAGTTTTTATAATATCGTCATCATTGTTTAAACAATAGTGGTACCATTGTTTCGAGTGACACGTGTGAATGGAAAAGTCAGTGTGATTTTCAATTGTTGCTCGATGAGTTTAACAATGGCGCTTCTCTTTGGAAGATACATATATGTAGTTGGATGCGATGCAAGCAGTTTTATTTGACTCGGGTATTAATCCCCGTTTAAGAATGTCAGAACATACATATGTATTTCTTGAGATCTCTGTGTCGAGAGATATTAGTTCGCTCGGCGAACAAATAAATCTCGTAAGGATGGATTCGCATCGTCGATACGATACCAGAATTGTAGTTGGTCTACTTTCAATATAGTGCGCGTTTGTAAATTCAAACGTGTTTCGCATTCTCTCGATAGTCGTGTCCCACTTTCTGTAAACGAAATGATATTTAGGTACTTCTAGAAAATATCTACAACTGGATTAATGAGACAGGCGATGATCAGCGCTATATTATACCGATTTGTAACGTGTTGCCCTGCAATGAGCCTATATAGAAATTTTTCTTGTTGTAAAAGAATCGAACGTGGGACGTTGTCCATTGGCTAGATGTTACCGTACCGGTTCGTCTTTTCTTTTCGCAATGAGAAAGACAGCGGTACAGCTCTCGATGAATTTCACATTTTCGTTACTTGTCTGACGATATCATCAACCGTACAAGTTTTCAGCGATGCTACACAACGGTATAATAGAAATTACGGCACAGATCTAATACATATGACCTATGCCTTATGCAATTTCCCATGACGCGTGTGTATACATACAGACACAACTGTCCATCTGTGCATCGAGAATAGACGTTTCGCGATACGAGAAGACTTTGATTGTGAATATTATCATTGAATGCGGTGCACAGGATTTCATCGATACAAGTCGTAAATTACTCTGGTTTGTTGGACAATTTCAATGTTGGAGATATCGTTGCCGTTCTTCTTTTTTTAGTTCTCGTTTATTCCTTCCAGTTATACTCGATTTTAGTATGTTTAACTTAGTGTTTTGTTGTTCTGCTTCAGTCCGTTTCGATATTCGTAAACTGTTTCCTTACGGATCCACTAGATGTAAATACTACACGGTACTGTTGAAACATCAACTGTGTGTTTGTGTCTGTGTAAATATAAAAACGTATTGTTTTACGATACCGAGGAGAGGCCTTGAATGAACATTGCTTGGGAATCCGAAGCACTGCTGGTTGGTTCGGATCGTAGATCTCGGAATCGATCGCAGTTTCGCGAAATCGATCTTGTCATCGATCTCATGCTTTCAATTTATCACAGCCTGCTTTTATGTTTCTTCCCGATTTCTTTATTCGTGCGTGAATGCGGACAGACGCGTGTCTCGTTTAGTCTTTGGTAGCGACTGAAGGTAGAAGTGAGAAAAATCAGAAAGGAAGAAAGTTACGAGTTGAACGCAAGGTAGCAGAGTATATGGTTCAAATTTTTGTAAGGTTACGTTTTGCACGAGCCTAGATGATCGAATTCTCGTTTGTGTTAATTTTCACCTTCCTCGGTAGGAGAGAAGGTATATTTGCTGCATTTGTATAGCTGTGCAACAAAGGTGTCAGGAAATCTTGTATGCTTGGAAAAGAAAAACGACAATAGCTGTAACGATTCTGTTGCCGTGGAAAGCATCGATTATCGATTTAAACTAAAGACCAATTGGACAGAGTCTCTCGAAGAAAATGTCTAAACCGGCTGTTCAGAAGCCGCTGGCAAATAGGAATAACGGGAACGGTAAATTGTAATGTTTTGCATCGTCGATTCTACTTTCCATGGAAACGAGCCCAGTAACGAAACGGTGGTCGTGGTGGTTGCGGTTGCGGCGGCGGCGGCGGCGGCGGCGGCGGCGGCGGTGGTGGTGGTTGTGGTGGTGGTATATATATTCTAGACGCCGCTCAGAACTGGACTATTACGGCTGAGCAGGCTGCCAATCCCTAGAATTCGAGTCTGTAGGCACTGCAGCTAGTCTCGTGGTCTTGAAGATTGATCGTGCATCGGGATGCCGAGGGCGAAAGGTCAATATGATTCGCAGCAAGAGCCTCCTCGTTATCGGCTACCCAGTAGCCCAACGTGTCCGTGTCATAAGTCGGTATTATGGTCACCTCTGGGGAATAAGAGACACGCGTCAATTGAATCGTAACTAATTGCAATTAATAGCAACTTCGTTTCGAGATTTAATTATGCGATAATCGAATCGTGTGTCTTGAAGAGAGTCGGTGTGACGGAAATCATTGTTAATAGAACGAAAAGGAAACTTACCAAGATCCTTGTCCTCCCAAGTCTTCTTAGCTTCCAGCAACGCGTCGTAAACCTCTCGGCTCGGATCAGTGCCGCTAAAGACGTAATATCGCGCGCGAACTCTTTTGAAAAAGTCCAACGACGTGTAATAGGAGTTGCCATGATGAGGCACGTACGTCAGATCCACGTACACCGGTTGAATTTTGTTCTTGGAGTCCTTGATCTTCTTCTCGTTCTTTCCGGGACTCTCCGAGCGTTTTTTATTCTTGAGATTTTCCGACAACACCTTTCTCGCTTGTTTCTTCTCTTTCCTGGGTGTACCTGGAGTGGCTTTGTTCGATATTTCATTGGTGACAGGAACCGGGGCGGGCGAAGGTAGCCGAAGAGGTTCACCCCATTCGTTCACGGCATCGAAACGTTCTCCGACATCCGCCGTTTCCAGTTGATTCGAGTTGGTCGGCTGTGTCGTCGGGGTTTTTAGGTTGAATCGTCGCGGCGGCTTGGGCGACGGAAGGCCCAACGGTGATCCCCATCCGTCGAGAGGATCTTTCTTTGGTTGTTCGGTTCTCGTGTCGTCGGTACTTCTCTCGGTCACCGTGTCGTCGGACACTTGGTCGCGGCTAGCACTGCCGTTCGTGTATCTCAGGGATACTCCGCCGCGCAGCGATTCGAGGGGTTCCTTAATTTCCTTGCATTCCATCAGAGCCTTCTCGAAGTCGAGATCGGCCTCGTCGACGTATCTCTTTGGATCCGGTTTCTCCTCGTAACCAGCCGCCGCCGCATACTCTTTCTCCACGGTGAACAACAGTTTCGACGTCGAATCGCTCGGTGCCGGGACAGGGCCGCTGGTTTTCCGTATACCGACAACGTCCTCCTGGAATGTTTTCATGGCACTGATCGGTGACGGGACCGCGGGCAATTCGCCGTAAAAGCTACTGCTCATTGCGGCTGTCGAAAACGCAACTGGCGATCCTTCATGTTTTTCGCTACTGCTCTCGATTCGTTCGCTCGATTCCGGTAGATATCCGTAACGATGGCTACTCCGACTCATCGAAGAGGAACACGGTCCTCCTTCGCCATCTTTCGCATCTTTAGTATCTTTGGCATCGTTCGAATCTTTGGCATCCTTGCCGGTTTCGCGCGTTGCGTCCTTCGATTCGGAACGCTCCGACTCGGACAACTTTAAACCACCGATCACGCTGCTGATGGCTGATTCAGCGGCATCTTTGCTAGGCAGATACTCATCCACCTTGACGTCGAGTTTCTCCGCCAAAACTACCGTCTCACCTTTCTCGTTTGTCGTCTCTGTGACTTCTCTGGTTGTCGTTACGATCTCACCTTCGTCCGAGACGGTTTTAGTTGTCGTGATGATTGTTCGTATGACCTCGCCCGATCGAAAGCCTTCCGGCGTCGCTGTCAACGATCTGTCGGATCTTCTGCTGTCCGGTGTAGATCTTCCAGAGACGTGGGATTGAACGGTACCACTGATCACATCCGCGACAATGTCTCGCCTAAGAGGAGACATTGGTCGTTTATCCTTTTGTGCGGATTTCTCGCCGTCTTTATCCGCATTTATAACTCTATCTGCTTCTACTTTCCCTTCGCCATCTTTTTCTTCGTCTCTTCTGATATCAGTCGTTTGTTTCAGGTCTGGTGTGCCTTCGTCCGCTGTCAAATAATCATCCGACTTGACGCTGGTGACTGTTGTTTCTTCTGTCGCTTCTGCCTCTTCTTTCGAGCTGTCGCTTCGTTCTGCTGTTTCGCTGGAACTTTTCCCTTTCGGGCTCTTATCGACGTCTTGGCTCGTTTTTTTCGCCGATGATTCTCCCTTCTCGTCCACGGATTCCCCGACGCTCGATTCTTGAGTAATTACGATCGTTTTTAGTTTGGTTGTTATCGTTTCGATCACTTCCGACGATTCTTTTTCCTCGGCCATGATTTTCCTTAATCTCTCCAACTCTTTGGGATCGGTAATCTCGTCCTCGGGAACGACGATTTCGCGTTTAATCACTTTTGTGATCACCACTGGTTCATCCTGCTCGATAATTTCGCGTTTTATCACTTTTTTAATTGTTTCGGTGATTATTTCGGGTTGCTGTTGTTCCATTACCTCGCGTTTCACGATTTTCTTGACTACGGTAACGTCGTCGTCGTCGTCGTCGTCGTCGTCGTCGCCGCCGCCGCCGCCGCCGCCACTTACATCTTCCCCTTTATCGTCCTCTGTCAGCTTAACCGCGATACTCGAATCGGCCAGTTGCTTTACGTCTCCCTCTATTTTGCTGTCCTTGAACAGGCTAATTATTTCTGTAGGGGATGCGCCGGTTCCCTTTTCCGTCGGGTGTGATGTAATCGTGCCTATCTTGTCCGGTGAAATACGAAGATCGGACGATTTACTACCGACGGATTTATCCTCGACCCTCTCGACCGTGGACGCCGTAGGTTCCGAAGTTGAATCCGGTGTCCCGTCGCGAGTAATGTCCGGGGTTTGCGTCGTAATGTGAGTGGTACGTATCTCTGTCATTCCGCCAACAAACGCTTTGTGAAACTGGCTCTCGTAATTCACCGGATAATCGGAAATCGAGCCGTGCAATTGTCCCTCTCCCTGCGTTTCCGGATACTCGGCCGTCGTATAACCGTAACCTGACTTTCTATGGTCGTCGGGAATTTCGTAACGAGCCTTCTCGGAACGATAATCCTCCTTTTCGTAGCTCTCATTCGGCTCGTTATCGTCGTCGTCGTCGTCGTCGTCTTGGTAGATATCTAGCGAATCGATCACCGAGTCTCTAGAAAGTTTCCTCTTCGCTATCGTTTCCTCGATTATTTCCAAGATAATGTATCGAGGCAGGCCTTTTCTTAGAATTATCTCCTCCAAACTCTCCTCCGTGATCTTTCTTGCCTTTTTGATGAACTCCTCGTCCAGTAGTTTCTCGATTTCTGTTCTCTTCTCTTCCGAGATCGAGACTTCCTCGTCGATGTGCGGTTCGGAACGAACGGGGCTGTCCTGGGTAGATTTATCGGAGGCGATCTGTTCGGAACATACACTGGGACTTCGAGAACCTCCGCTGGCATCTTTTCTCTCGATGTGTCGATCTTGGCCCACCGATAGCATTCCGTCTCCGATACTCTCTGTTGCTCTCCGTAACGTCAACGATGTCGATTCGGTATCTTTTACGGCAGATCGTTCAAGTTCCTCCGCCGCGTCTTTTTCCGCCCTTGCTATTTCTTGCTCCAGCGCAAAGTCGAACACCGAGTCTCTGCGTACGTTCGCTTTCGCGATAACTGTTTCTATGATATCCATCACTACGAACTCCGGCACCGAATACGTCATAACGATCTTCTCTATCACGGATGTCGTAATTTTTCTCTTCCTCCGTACGTATTCCTCCGTGATGTACCTTTCAATATCAGCTTTTTTCTCGGCCGTCACTTTGACGATGTCCTCTTCGTTTCCTTCTCCCTGTTGATCGGTTTTCCCATCGCTGCGAATCGTTGCAGTGGTGTCTGTGTCACCGATAATTCCCAACTCTTTATCGATTAGTTTTATAGGAGCGATGCTGATGCCCGTGGAATCTCCGGATTTCGACGATAACTCGGGTGAATGTTTTTCATCGATGCTCGGTTTTCGCGTGCCTGTTTCTACAGAGGCGGCATCCTTTTTCACTTGCTCTTCAACCTCTTCTTTCTCTGTCTCGTATATGCTTGCACCTCTTGATCCGGTGGAAGGAGTCTTGTCACCGGATTCGTATAAACTGTGAGATCGAGATCTATCTGCCGGCGTTTCGTCACAGTCTTTATCTACGGACTTTTTCTCCTCCGAATCGGACTGCTCGCCTTTGGATTTCCCGCAAATGCTGCTCTCGGTATCATCGCTGGCAGTAACACCAGATGATCCACGCGTACCTATATCTACCTTGGAAGTATCGATGCCCTTGGATTCTTTTCTTTCCATCGAAGCTCCGGATTTCCCGACTACCGTGCCATCCTCGACGACATCTTTCGAGTCCACTTTCACATCGATATCGCTGGTTGTTGCAGAACGCACCATACTGCTCGTCGAATCATCGATAATAATTGGACTCGCTGCATCGGTTGACTTAGACTCGTCCGGCGTGTTGACATCGGCAACGGGAACCGTTGTGCCAGATTCGTCTATACAGGTGCTTGGGGACCTGCTGGATGTTTTTACACTTGCGGTTTCATCGACGTCCTTCGTTTCCGACCTTTCGCTGACGACACTCGGCGATTTCGAGCGATCCATCGATTCCTTCGGTTCACCAGACACGCTGGTAACGCTTGCTGATCTAGACCTATCGAGCGCCGCCTCACGGTCGACTTCCTTAGAGTCGATTTTTTCACTGGTACGGGTAGTGGACGATGTTTTATCGGCTATACTCGGAGATCTAGATTCATCGAGTACTTTCCCATCGACCCCTGTCTCTGTATCGTGCTTTTCAATACTAGCACTCGAAGTAGCGATTGTAGTAATAGCACCGAGGGTTTTGGATTTTTCTACCGTAAGCTCGATATCGATGTCCTTCGATTCAGGTTTTTCACTGGAAATGTTCGACGGTGATTTCGATCCGTCGACCGATTCTTTTTGTTTCACGGCTGAAACGCTGCTGGCAATGCCGGTCGATCTGGGCTTTTCACATACTTTATCGTCGCCATCTTTCGAATCTACCATTTCACTGGCTGTGCTGGGTGATTTCGGATGATCCGGACTCGCTACACTCGGCGGTGATCTAGACTTATCGAGTCCCTTCTCGGTAGCGGTACTACTCGGAGATTTCAATGTTCCAACTGCTGTTTCATCGAGATCCTTTAATTCAGGTTTCGCACTGGCGATACCGTGCGATTCGGAATGATCAATCGCTGCTGGTGCTTTGGATTCCCCGGAATCGCTTGTCACGCTGGCTGATCGAGACTTTTCTTCTATTTTTTCATCGATATCTCGCGAATCGCTTCGAATCTTCTCGTCGGCAATGCTGGCTGACTTCGAACCGTCCGTCACACCGACAGTATCAACACCTGGACTCGCAATGCTCGGTGATCTAGACTTGTCGAGTGTTTTCTCGCTGATCTCTGTTTCGTCGTGTTTATCAGCGGTAATACTAGGAGTTCTGGACTTAACAACGGCAAGCTCATCGATGTCCTTCGATTCCGATTTCTCGCTGGCGACGCTCGACGCCGTTTCTTTTGCCTCAGCGGCAGAAACGCTTGTTGCTGCAAGGCTAGGCGATCCGGACTCAAGTTTATCAGTGGCAATGCTGGGTGATTTCGAGGGATCGGTTAATCCCGTGGAATCACCACCCGTACTATCAGCTACACTCGGTGATCTACTAGACTTTTCAACTGCTTTTTCGTCGGCCTCTGAAACGTCAGGCTTTTCAGCAGTCGTTGTACTGGGAGATCGGGATTTTCCGACCGCAGACTCATCGACATCCTGTAACTCAGCATTTTCACTCGCGATGCTTGCCGATTTCGATCGATCAACCGGCGACGGTACCTTTGATTCTTCTGCTTTGACGATTTCTTCTTCTTTATCAATGTATATTTCATCGGGCCTTTCGGTGGTGATAGTAGTACTAGGACTCCTGGACTTTACACTTGTAATTTCGTCGACATCTTTCGTTTCAGGTTTCTCGCTAGTGACGCTTGGCGATTTCGATCGATCGGCCGGTTCTTCCTTGGGTTCGTCGGAAACACTAGCAAGACTGGGCGATCGAGACTTTTCGTGCATCTTTCCGTCAACACCTAGCGAGTCGATTTTTTCCCCGGAAATGCTCGGTGATTTCGAACGATCCGTCGTCGCTGCAGCGGATTCACCACCCGGACTCGCTACACTCGGTGATCTGGACTTGTCGAGTACTCTTTCGTCGATGTCTTTGATATCGGGCTTTTCACTAGTACTAATGCTACTCGGAGACTTGGTTGTTTCAGCTGCTGGTGTGTCGGCGAGATCCTTTAATTCGGATTTCTCGCTGGTGACGCTCGACGATTTCGAACAATCGACCGCCGGTCCTTTCGATTCTCCGGAAACGCTTGTTACGCTGGGCGATCGCGATTTTTCTAGCGACTTTTCGTCAACGTCTCGCGACTCAAACTTCTCACCGGCAATGCTGGATCTGGACTTTGAACCGTCCATTACACCGACAGTATCAACACCCGGACTCGCTATGCTCGGTGATCTAGATTTGTCGAGTGTTTTCTCGCTGACATCTGTCTCGTAGTGTGTAGCAGCGGTGATGCTAGGAGTCCTAGATTTACCAACTGTAGGCTCGTCAACGTCCTTCGATTCTGATTTCTCGCTGGCGACGCTCGACGGCGATTTTGTTTGATCAACCGATTCCGTTCGCTCGCCGCCGGAAAGGCTTGCAAGACTGGTCGATCTGGATTTTTCAAATACCTTGTCATCGATATCTTTCGAATGAATTTTTTCAATGGTAGTGCTGGGTGATTTCGGCCTGGCCATTAATTCCGCGGAATCACCGCCTGGACTCGCTATACTCGGTGATCTAGACGTCGAACGTGGTCTCTCGTCCAATTCCGAAACGTCAGGTCTTTCGGTCGTTGTGCTGGGAGATCTGGATTTTCCGACTTTAGTCTCATCGATCTCCTTCGACTCGGCTTTTTCGCTGGCTATGCTTGGTGATATCGATCGACCCACTGATACCGGTTCCTTTGATTCGTCTGGTTTGTCAGAGACGCTTGTAACGCTAGATGATCTAGACTTGTCGATTTCTTTTTTATCGATATCCATTTCATCGGGTCTTTCGGTCGTTGTGCTGGGAGATCTGGATTTTCCGACTTTAGTCTCATCGATCTCCTTCGACTCGGCTTTTTCGCTGGCTATGCTTGGTGATTTCGATCGATCGACTGATACCGGTTCCTTTGATTCGTCTGGTTTGCCAGAGACGCTTGTAACGCTAGATGATCTAGACTTGTCGATTTCTTTTTCATCGATATCCATTTTATCGGGTCTTTCGGTCGTTGTACTGGGAGATGTAGATTTTCCAATTGCACACACATCGATATCCTTTGACTCTGCTTTTTCGCTGGCTATGCTTGGTGATTTCGATCGATCGACTGATGGTTCCTTTGATTCGTCTGGTTTGCTAGAAACGCTTGTAACGCTAGGTGATCTAGACTTGTCGATCTCTTTTTTATCGATATCCACTTCATCGGGTCTTTCAGTAGTGGTGGTGGTGGTGGTGGTGGTGGTGGTGGTAATGGTGGTGATACTAGTAATAGGAGTAGGAATAGCAGTAGTAATACTAGGTGTCCTAGACTTTACACTTGTAATTTCGTCGACATCCCTCATTTCGGATTTCTCGCTAGCGGCGCTTGGCGATTTCGATCGATCAAGCTGTGCCTTGCTTTCACCTGGCACACTACTACTGGTCACTGTAGTGGGCGATCTGGGCTTCTCAAGGTCCTTTTCGTCGGCAATGCTAGGTGATTTCGAACGGTCCGTTAATCCCGTAGAATCACCACCTGGACTGGCTATACTCGGTGATCTAGACTTTTCAATCTCTTTCTCATCGAGCTCTGTGATGTCAGGCCTCTCGGTCGTTGTGCTAGGAGATCTAGATTTTCCGACTGCTGTCTCGTCGACATCCTTTAAGTCGGCTTTTTCACTGGCGATGCTTGGTGAATTCGATCGTTCGACGGATGGTTCTTCCTTTGGTTCCTCGAGTTTGCTAGAAACGCTTGTCACGCTAGCGGATCTCGACTTGTCGATTTCCTGTTTATCGACATCTACTTCATCGGGCTTTTCGGTAGTGGTGGTGATACTAGGACTTCTGGATTTTACACTTGCAGTCTCCGCATCGACATCCTTCATTTCGGCTTTTTCACCGGCGATACTTGGTGATTTCGAACGATCGACCGATGGTTCCTTTGGTTCACCTGGTTTGCCAGAAACCCTTGTAACGCTAGGTGATCTAGATTTGTCGATTTCTTTTATATCGATATCCATTTCATCGGATCTTTCGGTCGTTGTGCTGGGAGATGTAGATTTTCCGACTGCACTCTCATCCACCACACTATCCTTTAACTCGGCTTTTTCGCTGGCTGTGCTCGGTGATATCGACCGATCGACCGATGGTTCCTTTGTTGATTCGTCTGGTTTGTCAGGAACACTCGTCGCACTGGCGGATCTGGACTTGTCGATTTCCTTTTTATCGATATCTATATCATCAGGCTTTTCGGTCAAGGCAGTAACACTAGACCCTGTAGACCTTACACTTGCAGTCTCGTCGACATCCTTCGGGTCGACTTTTTCACTAGCGACGCTCGGTGATTTCGATCGATCGACGGATGGTTCCTTTGATTCATCTGGTTTGTCAGGAACACTTATCGCACTAGCGGATCTGGACTTGTCGGTTTCTTTTTTATCGATATCTATTTCATCGAGTTTTTCGGCATCGATGGTCGTCGTCGGCATGATACTGGGACTTATAGACTCGATATCCTTCAACTCGGCTTTTTCACCGGCGATACTTGGTGATTTCGATCGCTCAGCCGATGGTTCCTTTGATTCTTCTGGTTTTCCAGAAACGCTAGTAACACTAGGAGATCTAGACTTGTCGATATCTATTTCATCAGGCTTTTCGGTAGCTGTGGTGATACCAGGACTTGTGGATTTTCCACTTGAAGTCTCCGCATCGACATCCTTCGTTTCGGCTTTTTCACCGGCGATGCTTGGCGATTTCGAACGATCCACCGATGATTCCTTTGGTTCCTCTGGTTTGTCAGAAACACTCGTCGCACTAGCGGATCTGGACTTGTCGGTTTCTATTTTATCGATATCTATTTCATCGGGCTTTCCAGTAGCGCTGGTAACACTAGGACTTCTCGACTTTACAGATGCAGTTTCGACGACATCCTTCATTTCGGCTTTTTCACCGGAGATGCTCGGCGATTTCGAACGATCCACCGATGATTCCTTTGGTTCCTCTGGTTTGTCAGGAACACTCGTCGCACTAGGGGATCTGGACTTGTCGGTTTCTATTTTATCGATATCTATTTCATCGGGCTTTCCAGTAGCGCTGGTAACACTAGGACTTCTCGACTTTACAGATGCAGTTTCGACGACATCCTTCATTTCGGCTTTTTCACCGGAGATGCTTGGCGATTTCGATCGGTCGGAGTGTTCCTTGGTTTCGCCGGAAACGCTGATCGCGGCGCTGGCCGATCTATCCAAGGTTTTCTCATCGACAACACCGTCCATTCTTTCCTTAACGTCCGCGGACAAACTCACTACGCTAGGTGACCTGGATTTATCGAACAGTGTCGCGTCCGCGTCTATTCTGTCCAGTTTCGAAACAGTGGGGGATGCTGATCGAGATTTCTCGACGCTTGGCGATTTCGAACGATGATCCGTTGATTCGAACGGTTCGCCAGGGCCGCTCGTCAAGCTGGACGATCGAGATTTATCAGCTGGCTTCTCGACCGTATCGGATTTTCCCGCAGTACCGGTCTGCAAGTCCTCGGAAGCCCTTACTGTGCTCGGTGAGACTGGTTCGCTCTTCTTATCGGATTGCTCGCTCGCGATGCTCGGAGATTTTGAACGATCGATCGGCCCTTTAACCTCGCTGGACACACTGGCAACACTGGGCGATCTAGATTTCTCGACAGACATTTCAATTTGCTCCCTTCGGTCTGTAGTTTCGTCTATGGTTACGCTCGGTGATTTCGGCCTATCCGCTGTCGTTCCCGTTGTGTCGCTGACAGGACTCGTCGTCGTCGTCGTTACGCTTGGCGATCGAGACTTGTCGAGTGATTTTTCATCGGTATCCGACCGCTCGCGTTTCTCGGTAGCAGCGTCTGTAGTTACAGCGTGATCACTCGTGTCTGTGATCTCTGTCCCATCGATCTTTTCTATGTCGATGGTCAACGGTTCTGAACTCTCGATAATAACATCTGTCATTTTGTTGTCCGGCTCGCCGGATTTTTCGCTGTCCGTGTCTTTGATGTCTTGTACGATCGTTGAAAGTGAATGAATTTTCTCGGTAGAAACACCAGACGACGCGGACGGTTCGCTTGGTTTCGTTTTCTCCGGTTTGCCAGTTGTTACAATTGAGGATGTATCTTTATCCGTCGATTCCATCTTGTCGGTTACCTCGGATGTCTTGGATTTGTCGATGGTGTTCGATGGAACAACAACAACCGGAACAACGTCTTTAGGGTGCACGGTATCGCCTGCTTTTACTTCTGTTCCTGGACTCTTTTCGCTTGGTTTGCCATCGAGTTCTTTCGCGTGTTCGGCTGGAGCAGCGATTTCGTCGATTTCCCTCGACATCGGTTCCTTCTCCGATAGCTTTGGTACGTCAGATTTTTCAACAGGAGTCGCTTTTAGGATCGATGATACCGGTGACGATTCGATGGACTCTGCCGAATCTTTTGTATCCTGTATGCTCTCTGGACTTTTCGGTTTCTCTGTAGGTGATTTGGTCGAAACAGGTGATTCGGATACACCTGTCTCGAAAGGTGCTTCCGACGATCCTACGTCGGCAAGTACCGGTTTTTCTTGAATTTCTATGAAAATCGCTTCTTTATCCAGGCTAAGCTCTTTCGGCTGCTGCTGCGGCGATTTCGATGCTTCCGTGTGAACCGACGGGGACGTGGTGCCGGTGGTGATTTCGTTGGTTTTACCGGCTTCCGGTTTCTCCAAGCTATCTTCAAGATCGTGCGAGTCGCGCCTGTCCATGGGCGATTTCTCCAGACTGTCTTCGGGTGTTACTTTACCGACATCCTTCGCTTCTGGGATCGATCTCTCCGAAATACTGTCCTTCTCGGGGCTACTTGTTCCGGAACGAAGAGAATCTTTGTCCAAAAGCAACGAATCCTTGTCGGGCGTTGACTTGACCGACGACGTGTCCTTGAGAGAATCGTCGGGAGTGACTGTTTTGGTGAACGTGATGCTACCGGTTGGACAGATTTCCGTCTCGTGTCCACCGTCTTCGCTGCTCGCTGTGACCAACATTCGCCGAACAGATCCCGCATCCGTATCTTGATCGACTTGCTTCGGTGGCTCGTGGACTTGTTCTCGAGCCGGTACGACCTCTGTGGTATATTTCGTGCCGGGTCTGTGAACCTCGTCGTCGGGACTCTTATCTATCTTTTCCGCGGTGTCTTCTGGCTCGCGGTGATCGTGCTTCTCGTCTTTGTCAGCGTCGATTATATCCAGTTTCGGCTCGGCTGCTCTTCCCGTGGCATCAGCCAACTTTACCTGCGGCTCGACTATCGGTCGAGCCGCTTCTTCTTTCGATTTCTGCTCGGGTGTCGCACCTGGAGCTCCCGTCGTCTCTATTTCAGCCGTTAGTTTCGCCTCGATCATCGGAGCTGTTGGTTCAACGTCCATCGATGGCAATTCGTCCTTTGGTGATTTCTCTACGACAGATTGCTCAGCTGTCGGCGAAATTTCGGCAGTTTCCGCTGATTCTGTTTTCTCTTTCGCTTCGTCCAGGTACTTTTCAACGGTGTCCAGCGACTCGGACGATTCCGTTACCACGTCGGCGGTCGAACCGCCGAGATCCTTTGATTCTTTCCTCGCGATTTTCTCCCTGTCCAATTGCGGAATCGTGGTCGCGTCCGCACGCGACTCTTCCTTCTCCAGCTTCTCTTTTGTCTCGTGAACAAACTTTTCGTCGGCTTCGACAACGTCGCTCGCGACGTCTTCGAGAGCCTCTTCGGCCGAGTAGTCTTTTTCTTTGGTTTCGTCCGTCGTGACCGAAGTAAAAACGACGCCAGGCGACAACGCCTTATCGGTATCCAGAGCGGTGACTCTGACGTCGGAAACTTTGTACTCCTGCTCGACAGCTTCGAAATCATCGGTGGCGTCTTTCTCCTGTCCTTTGCCGGTTGCTTGTACAGTTTCTTTCGTTTGATCGGCCGACACTGTCTTTTTCTCTTCGATATCGACCGATTCTCGCGAGACTTTTCTGCCGATGGTAACGAAACCGTCCTCTTCGCCCTCTTCTTCCTCGACTTCGTCTTTCCTTTTAACCGATCTTTCTTTTTCTTCTTCTTCTTCTTCTTCTTCTGCCGATGGTAACGAAACCGTCCTCTTCGCCCTCTTCTTCCTCGACTTCGTCTTTCCTTTTAGCCGATCTTTCTTTTTCTTCTTCTTCTTCTTCTTCTTTAGACACGCGTGTTTCCATCTTCGATTCCGCTTCCACTTCTGTTTTCGTTTTCGTTTTCTTTGTCTCTACACGTGTACGTTCCTTGTCTTGTTCCACTTCAGCCTTGTTTTCTGTCTTCAACTGGGATTCAAACAGATGCTCGTCCACCGACACATCCATTTTCAGTCTAACAATTATATCTTGAATAATTCGAATAACAATCGTTCTCGGTACCATCATCTTTATCGTGATCTCCTCGATCACTCGTATAGTAATACGTTTTCCCTTGGTAATGTATTCGTTGATAATGTACTTTTCCAGTTCCGTTCTCAATGCTGGCGTAACAGATCCCTCGAGTTTTAATGTAGTTTGCGCGTCCTCGACCACGTCTCGTTCCGAAAGTCCTCTTTTCACGATAACTTGTTCGATGATGTAAATCACCCGTTCCCTCGGAACACGTTTCACCGTCGTAATGTATTCCACGATAACATTGGTTATTGTTACTTTTTTCGTTAAAAATTGCTCGATAATATCTTCCACCAGACGATCCGCATTGTCGACAATAGCTCTTAGATCGTCGGGCAATTCACCGTCTGTCGGAGACGCTTCTTTGCTTTCGTACTTGATTTTCTCGGTGACAAATTTCGGCGAGGTTGGCGTCGAGCCAGGCGAGACCATCACGATTTCTGGTTTCGCCGGCGAGATCTTCTGATCGAATCCAATCACCGACTCTTCGATCTCCTCGGGAACGTGGCGTTTGACGGTTTCCTTGACGCATACGTCTTCCACTCCGGTCTCCATCACGTCCGTCTGAATCAGATCCGAGGTATCATCGGGTTTTCGGGATGGTTCGACCGTGTCGTCGAGCATGGACTTTCTGCGGGCCGAATCCTCTTTGAAAATTTCTCGGCAGATCTCCTCGACACTGCCGCGATAGTCCTCTGATTCGTGTTTCGGAGACGCGATTGTCTCGCGTTCCAGCGTCGTTTTCACGCATTCTGGCTCATCGATCTCCTTGGTCTCCTTGGTCTCCTCGGTCTCCTCGGTCTCCTCGGTCTCCTCGGTCTCCTCGAACTCCTTGGACTCCTCGTGCGGACGCGACGACAACGTTTCGATTTGCTCGATGAGCTCCTCGACCTCTTCTTGAGGCGGAAACTCCTCGGTGATGCCTACTCTGGTCGGAATCACGAGCGGTGCTCGGTCGGCCAATTTTCCAGAGCTGCTGCTGTCTTTCGGTTTACCAGTCAAGTCCTCTTTGAACGGCGGCGACCGTTTAGCGGTTTCGTCTCCGAACAGCACCTTGTCCGAAACGAAATCATGTTCATCCCGCAACACTTGGGCGACTTTCTTCACAATCTCCATGACGTCTTTCGGCTTGTCGTCGATCTCGATACCGACCGTGCCCGCGAGAACTTCCCCGACATCGCGCACAGCCTCTTTAACGTCCCTCACAATTCCAGCAATTGCATCTTCGTCTTGCTCGAATACCGCCTCGAATCCTTCGTCTTTCGCTATGTCGAACTGTACTTTCTCCGTTTGTTTCGCAAGCGTGTCGGCCGATTCACCCTCGATTTGCGGCTGCATTTCCTCCAGTTTCTCGACAACACCCTCCAGCGTGTCCTTGACAGCATCCTTTATCGGTGCTTGTTCGATTTGACGCGCCACCACCTCGGCAATTTCGTCCTCCAGAGACTCGAAGGAATCCCTCGAACCGTCCCTGTGTTTCTTCGTGGATTTTCCGGTAGGTTCGGAAACGGTTATCTGCACCCTTTCTCCCTCAACGTCGTAGCGTTCGCGTTCGTCAGTGTACACTGCCGCCGTGTCCTTCCTCGGTGGGCTGGTGCGCTCTTTCGGCGATACTCGTTTCGTCTCGTCCAATATATCGTGCGCTGGAACTTTGTCGGCCTCGTCTCGTGATGGGCGACGCGGTTCCTCACCGTCTTTAGTTTGATCTTGTACGAGACCGGTGGCAGGTACGCCGATGGGCGCGATTTCATCGGGACTTGGCGTTTTCTCGGTCGTTTTGCCCACCTTCGGGAACATTTTCTCCATATCGACATCGTCGATAAGCGTCTTTTCTTGTACTTTCGGCTCCTTCGGTGAGCTGGACTTGGACGAGGACTTGTCGTCGGCGTCCTTTTCGTGATCCTTCTTGGACTTTTTGGTCAACTTGTCGATACCTTTCTCGAATTTATCGGCAACCTTTCCGAAGAAACTGAAGACACCTTTCTGTTCCTTGATCGGCGGTGTCGGGGGTTCTTTGACCTTTTGGGCCGACGGGGCTGGCAGAGGAGCCTTGTCCTCCTTGTCCTTCTCCTTCTCGAAATCGTCCATTCGGTAGAATTTCGGATCGACTTCTTCGTGAACCGGCAAATCGGCAACTTCGTCCGGTGTTTTGACAATGTCACGCTGCATACAGGGCGCAGTTTGTCGTACGTCGAACATCTGAACGTCGTCAGGCTTGGTCGGCGCAGATTGGGCGGGTCTCGTGAAACTCGGAGTTGTGGGAGGTACCGCGGTAACAACGGCCGCGGCACCTGGGAGAGTAACGGGAACTGCTTGTTGCTGAACTTTTACCGGTACAGCAGTAGCTGCAGTAGCAGCGACAGCAGCAACATCATCATCGTCGTCGTCAGCAGCAGCAGCAGCATCCTTCTCCTTCACGTCCTCGCTAACGTGTTTCTCGTCAATGTCCTCCTTGATCTCGTCCAGAGGAATTCGTTCGTCTTCCGGAAGTGTCGGCGCCGTTGTCGTGGCACCGGATTCTATCGTCGAGATTCGCTCCTGCGACTCCTCCAATTTCTGGGAAGGAATCTGTTCCTTTTGATCGGCTTCCGGCTTTAAATCGGTGTCTGTGGTTTTCTTCTCGGACGAGTCCAATTTGTCCGGGCTCAGGCTGGAGAGCTCTTTCGTGATATCCTCGCTGTCCTTTTTACCGCCGGAATCGTCCTTCTCCTCGACTTTCGAAACAGTCTCGATCGTCGACGGAATGATATCCTTTGTCTCTTGTTCTTTCTCGATTATTATCGCCGTTTCCATTTCCTTCATCAACCCGTCCAACGACGATCTCTTATCCGCGCTCTCGTCTCTCTCCTTCTCCTCGATCTCCCCTTCCTCTTCTTCCTCCTCTTCTTCCTCCTCTTCTTCCTCCTCCTCCTCCTCCTCCTCCTCCTCTTCCTCCTCCTCCTCTTCTTCCTCTTCCTCCTCGTCCTCTTCCTCTTCCTCGAGATCATCCTCGTCACCTTTGCCCGCCAAACGTTCCTTGTCCTTTAATATTTTCGCCTTCTCGGACTCGGCTTCGTCGAGAATATGCTTCTGTTCACCCTCGCCGCTCTGCATCGAATCCTCGGTGTACACTTCCTCCTTCTCGACGATCAGGTATTCGTCCTCCTCGGTCAACTCTTGGCTTCCTTTTCTCAAGCTGTCCTTCTTCGGTGCGTCCTCGATCTCCGCGGTGACATCCTCCTCCGTGATGTCTTCCTCTTTCTTGTCGGTGACTTCCGCCGTGATCTCGTCGTCTCCCTCGAAACGATCGTCTTTTCTCGTCTCCTCGATTCGTTCAGCTTTCTGGAGCACCGCTTCGATCTCCTCGACGACTTCGCGTTCTTCCTTCAGGTCGGCCAGTACTTTGCTCTCGATCGAGTCCAACGAAATATCTTCCGATTTCTCGATCAGACTTTTCTCAGCGAGTCTCGCAGCTGCCACTGCCGCTGCCGCTGCTGTTTCCGGTTCGATTCCAGACGGTGTGGACACCGCGGAGGAGTCGGCGGTACCTTTGTCGCCCTTTGGTTTACGAATAACTACACCGTCTTTGTCCGACTTAACGGACGTTGTCGGTGTGCTTCGTGTCGATTTCGCTGGGCTTCCAGGCACGCGTACTTTGCTCGGACTAACCGGTTTTCCTCTGCGTACGATCGGTCTTCTGTCTATCGGTTTAGGCTTTGCTGTTGCGGACACTTTGACCGCGGCGGAGGTTTGCTGTTCCTCCTTCGCGGCGTCTTTTATCGCGGATCTTTCGATCTTCTTTTGTTCGACGACTTTTCTGTTGTTCGCGTCTTTCGCGCTCTTCGCCGGGGGTGCGGTTACCGTTTTCGACGCTACGACTGCCCTGGCTTTCGACACGCTCGTTCTCGAGGACATCTCGGTCTTGCTCGCGATACCGTTTACGCTCTTTTTCGGAGTGGTCGGCGACGACTTCACCGCTACGCCGCCGCTCTCTTTCCTGTCGACCGACGACGGTTGTTTCGTCTTTTTCCTCACTTGTCCGACCTTGGACACCGTGTCGGTTTTCCCAACTTTTATACCTCCACCTTTGGTCGTTTCCTTTCGCCTCGATTCGCTCTTCGGTTTCGACTCTTTCGGCGGAACGATCACCTTCTCCGGTTCCTTTTTAACGCCGCCATCTTCTTCCCGTTTCTCGGACTTGTCGTCCAATTTCGAAGCCTCCCGTCTCGCGGTCTCCTTCTTCGCCTCTCTCAATTCCTTCTCGATCTTTTTGTTCTCTCTGCCCTCCTTGCTTTCCACCTCGATCTTCTTGTTCTCCGCCGCTTTTCTAGCCTTCATTTCGATCTTGGCTGCTTGCGGTTTCGTCGGTATGATCGGTGTACCGGCTTGCGGAACACCTTTCACGTGCGCGTCATCTTTGATCGTTTTCCCGTCGGTTATCGCCGATTCCCTCTTTTCTCTTTTCGCGTCCGCCGTTCTCTTGGGCGGTTCTTTCTCGAGCAAGCCCAGTTTTTGTTTCACGGGTTTCTCCCGCAGAGTGGCCAACGACGTGGACGGAGAGAGGCTCTTGGCCGAGCAGACGGGATGCTTGAGGAACTCCAAGTGTTTAAGTCGCTCGAAACCCTCGAAAATCTTGTATTGCGGCGTACTGCCGGGAAATAGAATCCTGGTGATGGTGTCCTCGGGATTGGCCGGCTGCCAGACGAGAAGCACGCATATCGAGACGAGATTCTGAATCGGAAACATCAAGTTGTTCGAGTCTTTCTTATGCGAGCCGGCGAACAACTTCGAATCCGACGAGTGCCATTTCGCCATAAATTCCCTGACTTCGCGGCTGTCTTTGCTCGGGCTGAGCACGTACATATCCAGCGTGCCGTGGCCGACTTTATGGTACAGATTAATCGGATCGGGATCTCTGTAGCACGGGTGAGCTCGCAAAGTGATGTGACGCAGGTTGAGAACCATCTCCTGTCCGAGATCGGTGAGATTCAAGATCAAAGGATCGACATCCTTGTCTCCGTCCGGTGAATTCGACTGTCTTCTCTCCTGTCGCGTAAAATTACAAAAATTAGATTTTTCTTCTCTTACTCTCAGACCGGGGGAAGCGGAAACGTTAACTCGACGAGTTTAAGTATAAAATACTTACGACGAGGTTACAGAAAAAGTGTCCAATCTGAGGATAAACGTGCATCTCCTTTTTTTTACGAAGAACGCTGAACATGCCACCGACGTTGCTGTTATTGATTCTAGTGACTAAAACTGCGTCGAGACGATCCAGATGCCTGGTAAAGTCCCAGAAACAAGCCTTTCTCGCGAAACCGCCGTCCACGAGCATGTTGAAGCCGTTTATGCCGAAAAGCGCGGCATCACCTTGTCCACCGGGGAAGACGTATAAAGTAGGATGACTAAATCTAATGTTGCCCACAACGTCGGACGGTTCCATGAGTTGATCCAGTGTTTGAGCACCGAGATACTGTCCAATGTAGTTGATGAAACTCGTGATTGCGGCTACTCCAGCGGTAAGAACATCGTCGGGATTTACTCTGACTCGACAGGATCTGCTTAGGACAAACAATCGTTAACGAGGACGAGTATTACTATATTCGATATAATACCGCGTTTATTTTATAGGTACTGTCCAGATTTTGAAAGGTTGACTGGACAAACAATCGTTAACGAGGACGAGTATTACTATATTCGATATAATACCGCGTTTATTTTATGGGTACTGTCCAGATTTTGAAAGGTTGACGACGACGACGATAATGAGACGACATGAACGACGATACGTACCTGGTGCAAGCTTCTTTGGACAGCCGGTTTGTCGTCCAATCACCAACACCCGAACAATGAATGTCAACTGTGACGCTATTCTCGTAAGCGCGTAAAACTCTTTGTACCTCGTGTTCGCTGAACGCGTCTAAGAAATCAGCGATGCTAAACGTTCCATCCTAGAACAAATGATGATCAGCATGTAGTGGTTGTTTAGCCAGTCGATCTGGATATCGTTCGAACGATAAGTAACTGTAGAATTATCGTTGGAGATAGCAAAAGCATATGCGTACTTGCAGTATCCAGGAACCATTTCCACCGAAGGTGTAGCCTGCGTGTATGATGTGCCGATGTTTCGTGAAACTCGCGAGAAGGTTCCGGATACATTGTAATAATGTGTTTGTTTGCGGGTGAATCAGAACTTCCGTAACAAGATTCTCGGTAGCGTATTGGATCAGTCGTTCGCCTGAAATTTCATTCGTCTCGTTGACTACAAGAAGAACAGGATCGCGTACCGTGTTGGTACGTATTTATACACGTATGTATGTATATGTATGTGTATATGTATATTGTTCGAACGTATCGTTAGTTCTCAACCAAATGGTAACATAATAATACGGAGCATCTCGATATACACGTATATGTATAGATGTATGTAGATACATTTGCTAAACTATTATACAAGTGTCAAGTACCATTCCGAGCTTCTTCGCCTTCCGGTGCTTGTGCTACCAACGCCAGTAATTCTTTCTCCAGATCTACGTGACAACTGTCCTTGTCCCATGATAGAAAGCCTGAAATATTCAATCGGAGCGGATGGGGCGTTCGTTTCTATTTTCATTCGAATCTAATTATTATCGCGACCTAGAACGGGGTGCCGGTAGAAGTATATAATGGGTCATAACCAAGAGTCTACACTACGTTGGCTTCATAAAGCGGGGGCTATACTCAGGGTCGAGTAATCTAAGGCTAAGGTTAAGAAGACGGGAAACTATTGTTCCTCCATCTCGCATATATCGCAAACCACGGAAAATCCACGCAAATGGACAAACAAGATTCTTGCCGATATTCCCTGGTAAAGCCAGACGTTCAATCGGTGAGAAAAAGAATTATTGCGGGTATACGTGTGTCGACATTGCCGTTGTTTATTCGAGCTCCAACAATAATTGCGCGAGCAGCTGCGTCATCTGCTGGAATTCGAATGATAATAAACTAAACATTGTTCGTTCAAAGAGAAATGAATTTAACGACGACAGATCAGGAACGGGAAAAGTCGTTTCATGACGTCACGAATACCGCACCCCGTCCGTCACGTGGTTCGTTCTGTAGTAGCCATCAATCGATCGTCGCGTATCCTGCACCCACTCTCCTCTATTCGCATTTATGCTACGACGACGACGACGACGACGACGACGACGACAACGACGTTCCACCTTCTGCTCGTTAAATTCGATGCACATGCGTGTATAGTTGTGGTATATGTTCGTATATTCGTCTTGGACCGAGATGAATACATTGTACGGCTAAAGTAGATCATTGGCGTTTGCTTATTATCTCTGTATATTAGACTAATCGAATATTTGAATATTGTTGTTGGAAACGTAACAAGTATACATACGTATACATATTACGATTACGAGTATCGGACCGTTTAAATGGTTATGTCGAGGCACAGAAGCAGCAAACTCCCTGTGTCAAATTGATCGGAAGCCCTGGAGGTGATACAAGGGAAGCCGTGCCAGATACGTAAGAGAAAGGGGACAGGGAACGGGGGACGTGTGCCCTTTAATACTTTACGACCCCTAAACACATTTTCTTTCTCGAAATTATTCACGCATGTATCCACGGAAACGACATGATAACCCGAATGATATCTGACGGATACCGACGGTACAATGACGCGTGATATATCTTCCTCGTGCGGGTGTTGTGGGTATAGGTTACTGTTTACGGTTTACCGTAATCGCGATATCGACAGGCAGAGGCTGGCTTCTCGATTCCGTCGAGAAAAGATTAACAGCGTTAAACCGCTGCCGATGCCGCCGCCGCCGCCACCACCATTGCCTTGAATATAGGTACACCCGGTACTTAAAAACAGTGTGGTGAAGAATATACTCGGTTAAATATAGACAAAATCGTGGGTTTCTTCGTCGGAGCATTTACCCCACCCATGGCGTCCCTTAGAACCACACTCGTATTCGTTTCCATCGCGTTTCTCGATTTGCATTGACTTTTCGTCCTTTTTCTGTTTTTTCTCGCTCGACGACAGATGCTCGGAACGTTAGGGGTTTGCCCAAACTATGTTTAGACACAGTTTTCCGTTGTCCTCCTCGCAACTTGTACGCTTACTTCTTTACCCGAGTAATCCAAATTTGCGAGTTTTTCATTGATTCCCGTCTTTATCGTAAATACCGAAAATAAGGAAGGTCGTCGAGAAATGTGTTGTATGCATCGCGTATCTATCGGATGAAACACGAGAGAAGCGCATGCGGGAATATCGGCCGAAGGCTTTTGTTGTCCAACAGGGTCAAAAAGTTCCTTCGAAAACTGCTGATACACCGCTGACGATTGATCTGCCGAGAGGAAAAAACACTCGGTCTCGAACGAGGTCGACGACGACGACGACGACGAGGAGAAACCTCCTCCAGGTTCTTCTAATCAGCTCTAGCTACCTCTACGTGGCTACAGATCTGTGTAGTGTCTGTATATTCGACATATTCTTCCAATATACATCGAGAGCAACATCGTCGGGACAGGTTGAAAAAATTGGAAAATTTACACACAGTAGAGGTACTGTGCAGTAATTCGTCAAATGGTCTGTGCATTAGGTAGGCACTTGAAAGTGCCATGTACGATCTTGGTGGAATAGTATAGAGAAATCGACCTAGCTCGCGCCCGTAGCTATTTATACATACAACACCGGGGCGAAGACCCGATCCAAGGGTTTATCTTCAAAGATGCAACTGAAACTTTGACATTTTGCTTCTCCAATTCGACGATGCACATGTCCTTATTTTTCAATAACAAGTATTTACCGATACAATCGTCATCGATCTAATCGTTGTGGATTTCCAGTAGGTTTTCCTTCTTCTTCTTCGTTATATTTCGTTCGTTTCGCCTAATTGACAAGTTGACATCGACTCAATGTTCATGAGAGATGTTGGTACGACGAGATGTTCCTCTCTACCTTAGCAAAAAAGAACGAAAGGACGAACAGGAAGCAATAAAGAAAAATTGCTCTTCTTTCCGTATCGCGACTAAATTTATCGGCAAATAAGATACATGGATTAGTCCAAGGGTCAGGTTCAGGTTCAAGAACAAGGTAATCGAGAAACCGAGTTTCACGACTCGAAGAGCACGAGATACGCGAGAGAGCAAAACACTGGCGAATGCCGTGGTAAAATTAGACATACTATATTCAGTTGCACGTACGATGAAACTACTATGTATACCAGTAGCTGTGTAAACGTATACCGCTGAACCTATCGTGTCGTCCTTCCATTCGAGGGGTACAACAAGTACATATCTGAAAATCGTATAATCGTGATACCTACTTGTGTACCTACTCTATAGAAATTTTCTATAATACATTGCCGGTAGTGTTGTTTAATCGAGTCTACTTAGGAAAATCGCTTCAGCGCACAAGCGTGTTTCCTCGATCTTTCATGTAGGTATTACAATCTCCATAGAATTGCGTGTTGCAGGAAATTTGTTCGCTCCACATTTTCAGCAGCTTCTCCAATCTACTCGGCTAAAACTCCTTTCTATTTTGGATTCGTACTCGTACGTCGATGCAGTCGAAACTGCTCGACGACATTCTACCTAAACTGAATGAAAATTAAAATCGTGTATGTGTTTGGACAGAAATATGTATGCAGGGGCCACCGCCGCCGCCACCGCGCCGTTGCGGTGTTACACTTGAACGCGTGTGAATCTACATATGTACTGTACATGCATACCAACACGTGTATTATACAGATTTATACGTATGCGTATGCTACGAGTGTAATCTCCAACAGATCCCTCTATACGAGAGACCTTCCGGATATTACAAGCATCGTGTAACTCCAACTTTCTCGATGCTCCCCACGTCCTCAATCATGATTCATGTCGCCACCGCCGCCACTACCGATCGAGCATGTACATAAGAGTATGGCTCTGCTCTTCCTACCTTGCGTGTACGTATGTGTCGATACCCGTGAAATATCCGTGAGCACGTGTACATGCACGCACATGCACCGGCTCGCTCGGCTATTATCATGCCAGTCTTTACGATTCTGTTTTACTTTATACTTTTTACTCGGTCTACATATTTTATTGTCTCACGCCATTTGCAAAATTTTCATGTTGGACTAGTTTCGCACGTACAACAAACAAAGAAACCCATCAGGAATGTCAATATTCAATCAAGAAATGGCTTCGCATCTGTTTATCGTCCTGCCAAATTTGCCTCACATGGATTCACATACATACAGAGGTACGAGTACTTATGAGTCACGTATAAGTTGCCGGTTAGCACGTTTTCATTGTGCTCATTGCATACGAAACGACCGACACGCAAATGCGCATGCACGAAATATGAAAATCGGCATTTCATATATGTATAATACCGGTCTAACGTAGGTACCGAAAGTAGTCTAATCGAAACGATGAATTTTTCTAATCTTCCAACCACAGCTATCTTAGCTAATCTTACTCTGTGTGTGTGTGTGCGCGCGCGCGCGCGCGTATGTGCACTTTAGAATTTGTGTTTCGTTGGGTTTTGGAAATGGGTCGAATCGTTCGATTCGATTTTCCCTCACGCCCACCACTGTCCCTAAATTTATCCCCCATTTCCTTCCTCCCTTTGATTCAATTATATTTCTACTATGCATCTACATATAGGTGCAATCGTTATGCATTCGGCAGTGTTGGAGGGTGACGAAATAATGTCGTCATTTTGGCTTAGCGACAGTTTTCACTACCAACCGAGTGGATGGATTATTGATCCAAGTTCTGGGGACTGCGGGGATGACTGGAGACCGGTACTAACATGCGCATGCCGCACCAACCTTTTGCTACATGCTCTTTTCCACCACCTACAATTTCCTCTGCTCTTCCCCTACCAACCCCCCTACCCCCACCTGTCCCTACATTTATACTATAACAATTCTATCGAATTTCACGCATCTCTCTATTCTTTCGACCGCTAAAACTCGATCTTTCTGTCGCGTCGCGCTGTCGTGCAGGAAATTGGAAAAATAGAAAAATAAAAAAGCAAAAGGAATGTACGCATCCTTGCCCTCCTTACGTTATTCCACAGTTCCTGTGGACATCTACCCCGACAAAGATTGCGACAGATGACAGTCGTGATTACATTTGCGCCAATCAGTTATTCAATTAACGAATTGCTACGAGCGATGAAAAATATTCGTTACCGTTCAATCTCTAGCATACTTATGTGTTCAGAAACGTGATCTATGATTATGTGATCATTTACCAGCCGTGAAACGTAAGAAATAGTGACGATACATTGACCCCTTTTTCGAGCTTGATTTAAAACGAACGGCCAACAACGGCAACAACGAATAATCGAACAAACAATTAAACGAATGTACGGACGAACGATCCACGTGCCGCCTAATTTTCTCGCTAACCAACGTCCGCTTAAACTCCGCCTAGCAACAAGAGGAACCCATCGAGTTTGCTGGGTAAGCTTGTCCGATAAATCGAAAGGAACGAACATGTACGCACAGCGAACAAGAACCGTTACCGCTTGATATCACGCGCGGAAGTAGCAACGAGCAGGTATCTACGTGTGTCTGCAATTGTAATGATAATCGTAATCGTAATCGAAATTATTGCGATTAGTAATATCCGAATCGTGTTCATTTCTTACGACGATCGATGCGATTTACCACTTAAAAGTTTGACTCGACCGAACATTCGGAACGGGGGGAATGATGGAAGCGGAAAAACTCACCTTTCGATAGACGACTCAAGATGAGATCTTTGTGTTGCGCGGTGTGAGGCTCTGGAAGCACAACGAGAAGATAACAACCGCTTAGGGGCGATGGTGGTGGATGTTGTTGCTGGGAACTCGGTGCCACTGGATTCCCGGTTCCTGGAGTAACCGGAGACGTGTTTTCTTGAACATTTATCGACGATATCGTAGTCATCTCTCCTCCCCCTCCACCCTCACCGGTAGGATCCGTGGTACTCATTGCTAGCATCAAACAGACACGGAAACACGGGTTGAACACTTGGAATTTCCTTCTTTTGTCGTTAAAACCAATTCTTCGTGTCATCAAGATCCATAACGTTTAGGAATATCATCGATTCGACAAGATCTACATATGTATATCATCGAGACAAACGCCTGATTATTCCATGTATGCATGTACACTAACCACTGTCACTTCTCGCCGCTGCGTCTGACACATGACATCTTGTTACCACTAGCAACGTTTCAGAATCGTTTCACTGATAGACCGTGTACCGTTGTATCATTCTTATTCAATATTATTCGCATGATTATTTAGTCGATTGTTGGTATGATTCTATCTGAGTACATTTACCGTAAAAGTAAACTAAACGAAGAAGATGGTTTTTGGAATCTTCACACTATAGCAGTACATATGATCATTGTATCGGTTCACTAACCCGACAGTCGAACAAGATTCGAAAACTTTAATTTCAATATCGTAGGTTTAGTAGCAAGAATGGTGGTGGTGGTGGTGGTGGTGGTGGTAGTAGTAGTAATAGTAATAGTAGTAATAGTAGTAGTCGTAGTAGTAGTAGTAGTAGCAGTAGTAGTGGTAGTAGTAGTAGTAGTAGTAGTAGTAGTAGTAGCAGTAGTAGTACCAGCTGTAGTAAGTAGTAGTAGTGATAGAAGTAGTAGTCGTTGCAGTAGTAGACTACAGATCATGCTACTGTCTAATGGAAAAAATTTGTAATGAATTAACGCGGTATTAATATTCGCTACAACCTGAAAATAGATTCGACATAGACGTCCTACAGTTAGAGATTTCTCTTGTGAGGACGAAAAAATCAAGTTGCTCGAGTGAAAAAACGTTAGAGAGACGAGGCGATCAAATAGTACTAGAATCTTACCGAAACAAGAAAATTTCGAAGAATATGCGTGAAAAGTGTCTGCGTTGTCTCACCGCGAATACATGCGGACAACGTCGGCGCTTGATATTGCGCAGGATTCGCACGACCCTTTTTCCTGAAAGCGGTAGGGCTACGTCCTATCGTCCAATGCGCAGGATCCGAAATTCTCCGCACAGCCTTAGATCATTGATCCAAATTCTGACCAACCGACTAGAAAACAGGACATAAGATAAAGATATTCTCATGTATCGATTTTCGTCTCATCTATCGATTTCGTTGAATTGCATTTGTTTCTTTTTAAGGAACAATACGATTCCCCTTCTTGTAAGTAGATTTCGTCGATCCACGTGATGAATCACAATCGAAGAACGGTTACGCGGACGGTCACGACGAGTACGTCGAGTTAAATGCTCGAAAGTATCCGTAGAATGGAAAAGTCAAACAACCATTGCACCGAGTAGGTACTGGCATTACTGTCTACCGCTTAGTAACAACCCCTTCCGCAGACCAACCGATGAACCGAAAATCTCCACCACCCGTTCTTCAGAAAGATTACGACGAAAAGCTACTCGGTCCCCTTGTACTGAACGTGAACAGAAATTTGTATGAAAAACTACAAACTGACAGTTGTACGTCTCTTACCTTTTTACGTGGCAGGTCTGCTTTATTTTAAATTCGCAATCTCTCGATATATATTCCAGGAGGATCCTCCTTCTACAGGACGTGAAACCCAGGTGCAAGGGCAAAGTGTCTGTCGAAGAAAGTCGGAGTTTAAATCGAAGACAGACACACCGTCTCCCAGCAGTCTGCTTTCTGGTCTAAGCTTCAACTCGCTCCACCCTACTCACCTTGTCCCTCTCGCGTGTACCGTGCCGTGGCGCGTGCAGACAGAGAGAGAGAGAGAGAGAGAGAGAGAGAGAGAGAGAGAGAGAGAGAAAGGGGTAGCAGGAGAGAGGGACAAAGGGAGAGAGTGACAAGAGACGACTCCGATGTGTTACCCGTGGATGACGAGACACGAAGGATACCAAGAATACCAAGGAATCGTCGTGTACACTGGTAAACGTGGGTCGAAACGAAGAAGGACAGAACTCGTATCGTTTCGATGAAAAAAAGAATAAGTAATGACGGCCTGTCGTGACGGACTTGTATGTTAACTACGATTCACGGAATGTCTGTCTCTTCTCCCTACGTCCCGATCGACGACAGAACCAGAATGTGTACTCGGCAGCAACACTCGCTTTGCGGGCTGCCGGCTCTCTGACAAACTCACGACATCCTGCGTCGCTGCCCCACAGAGGCGCAAACCCCTTCCTTGAAATCGTTCCAGTATCCCCACTAACGATGCGATACGATGCGATATGCGATGCGATGCGCCGTCGCGTTGACTCGATTACTCGCGGCCGCGCAGTTCGAACAGACTGCTGCTGCTGCTGCTGCTGCTGCCACTGGCACTGCCACTACTTCTACAACCTCTTCGGCTTACAACACCATACAGCCGCGCCGCGCCGTCGCGTCGCATCGTTGGAAACGTCGCAATGTTCACACTTGGCTGTATAACCGAGTGCATACACACGTATACCTATGGACCTCTGTGTACATGTAGGTGTATATACATGCATACGAGGAGAACCAGAGCAGATGAGCAACTGCAACTGCAATTGCACGCGTAACCGAGTGTACATACATACATACATATGTATGCACATACGCTTGGAGAACCGGCAAGCCGGCCGGCGCGACCCGGTCAAAAAGCACGCCGCACCGTCAGAAGCTAGGCTTACCGGGCATCGAAGGAAACGACTAGCGCCGGAAACGAGCAAGAGCGTAAAAGGATCGAGACTTCGATGCCGTACTTACCAGACGTACGGGAACATTTATCGGGGGACCAGGGCAAATGGTACACGAGGTGAAATAATGACCGGTTAAGAAGCACGCGATGCACTCGCATGTCGTCGTTATGCTACCATGTCGACCGGCACACACCCCGTTCCTTTATTATTTACCGACGTAAAACATTAGCGTTAATCAATGTATGTATGTATGTATGTATGTATGTATGTATGTATGTGCAAACGTAGATACCTAGAGGAACACTGAAACCCTACCAGAGGGTTCGTGTTTTCTGTTCTCTACGATACTGAGAAACACTATGGTATCAGTTTTCCTATAGCAGTTAAAGGACGGCATTCGATTTCATGGGAAAGTATTACGTATACCTATTCGTAGGAAAACATTACTGATTTAAACGTCCTATGAAGCTTTCGTAACTGAAACCATAAAAGGTTCCAAATTCCCTCTTCGTTAAATTTGTCGCCTCCTATTGTCTTCGAATGAAATAAACGGAAAGCGTATCGTGTTGCAGTTGACACGTTTACTGACAGGCCATACAGCCGATTTATCGAATCGTCGACATTTTCGATTGTCGCAGTGTATACCTATGTATCTTATTCCCCAACCTACTACCCTAATCGTGATCAGTGGGTGCTGGTGTTCTTGCTGATTTCTAAAGATCTATGTACGATACTATAGACACCAGGAGACCAAATTGTGGGAGCAGCTTGATGTACTATCTCGATTTATAAAGACATTTTAGTCAGGCCCCGTTGCAACTTTATCGCATTCCCTTTCGTTTCTATAGATACGTTTTTACCTGTGATCAGAGAACGAACTAGAACTTTCACAGTAGTAGCGATAATGCGGGGCGCTAGTATTGACCGGCACCCCCTTACTAACCGTGTTAAGAACATCGGAGGCCAAAATATAGAAACATTTTATCAAGTTGAACAGACCATACTTACTCTCTTTAGCGGTTGCAGATGATTTGCCCTCGTGTCTCGTTTTTTCGCCTGTGTGAACGTGTATTGTTCACCCACTTGACGCAACGTTACAGATGAATGCGTACACGCAAGACGTCGCGACGGCGCGTATGACCTGTTAAAGGGTGTACATACTCGCTCGAAACTTGATCGCACAGATCTATGGATACGGACGTATCGTTACTAGTATTAAAAGAGAATTTCCAATATCTGCGGACAATGTATCTATGTATGTATGATTGGCGCTAGAGGAATTGTTCGATACACGTCGATATATAGTATGTAGGTCTGCTGCCGAAATACGTATACATACCTAGATATATTCTAATCTATGGAATATATTACTATGCTTTCGCTATGATTCGAATAAAAAGAATCCAAAGGGCGACAGAATGGTATCCAGTTTCAGTTAAACGTGTACATTTTGCGTGCTGAAAAATTTTTCCGTCGAATACCGATGCAATTGAAATATAATAAGTAGCGAGTCCGTAACTGAAAGCATGACTGGGCATAGCGAAACACTAGGCTCCCTTGTTCAGGAACCGTTCACTAATACCTATACGTATGCATAATGTTTACATACTTACAGCCGCTCATGCTTGTTAAGCACGTGAGCATTTTCATCGACGTTTCATTATTACATCGTTCGAATTACTTTACACTTGGCGTCCAGTTCCGTGCACTACTAACGTGACGTCGCGATACTTTCAGCAATTACTTATGACTCTCGTGGCCTCTTTCGGAAGACTTCAAATTCTTCTTTCGCGATAAAACACGTTTACCTGGGCCTCTTGCAACGTCTGTGCACCTCCTCAAAATGTCTGCTTTCCTTCATTTCACTTGAGCTCAATTTCATAATAAAGCTTTTCGCACAGTACCTATCCAAAAATATTTCATTCGTTCTTCGACAAGACCTAATCACGCTTCTAACGAAACATGTATCAGCAATTTACATAGTTTATTGCCATTGCCAACGACTGACCTGTAAGCAAGTTATTTCTGTTTTGGAAATACTCAACAATATCACGTGAAAGTATCGAACTAGTTTGAACATGCCCAAAAAGAGAAAAAATAATATGATTTTATTGAAAGAGGCAGAGGCGCTGGGCGTTTACGAGGCGCCACGACGACGGCGTCTCATCGATCTGACTAGCCGAATACCGCAGCCACTTACAATATACGCCGACTGTATACTAGTACCATAGGAAATCCACATATCCGCAGAGAGTTGCCAACCACCGCAAAAGAGCATACTATTGTACATTTCTCTTGCTCTTACATCTTTGCAATACGGTTTAGCACGGTTGTGTTGCTAACGCGAATCAGATGCGAATACTAGAATCGGTTTGAGACAAACATGTCCAAGAATTTTCTCTTTTCTTTCCCAATGTCGCTTTTCGATCCTTATTGATAAGGCAGAAAGAAGCGAAAGAGATTAACAGTACAGATAAGTAGAACAAACGCATGCGTCCCTTCTACACATCGGTACATTAAGAATACAGTAACAATCTTCGATCTTTCTTTCGAAAAATTTGACGTGATTCTAGATATGTATGTAGTATGTAGTCTGTTACTCTCATTTTATCCGATACCGCTGATCAACTTCCGACAATATGACGGTACACAGCAAGACGGTGATCTTTCTTTCAATAATATTTATGCCTTCAATGCTTGAAAACATTTTTGCTCTACCTTCGGACTAAAATACGAATAAAATACCTTTGCAACTCAGAATGGCTCACTGGTATAAAATTACGGAAGAATGAAAACAACAAGAAAGAACCAAAAAATGGCATTTCATTTATCTTCTTCTTCCTCATCACTGTGGAGATTGAATGAGATCCATCCTTACTGCTTATCGCATCCTCTCTTGTTTTATGCAAATTTGGAAGTAGCTGCTCTTTCTTGAACATACATTTTTCAGTCACCTACCCTTTTTATGGCATAGATATGCATACAAACGGATAGTAGAAACACAATATGTACAACACATTATGCGTACGAGGAAAAAATTTATTCCCTATGGTAATCATACAAAACGTGACGTACAAGAAAGACCCTAGCTTAGTCATGAAACAAAAAAGAAGAAATTTGTTTAATAATGATTCTTTTGTAACAAATAGAAAAGCCTACATTCCGTCTCTCTCGAGCTTTAAATCCTGCAGGAAGAGAAAAAAAAGTATGTACATACATCATGCTGAAAATACACAAGAAATAAGTAATTAGTTCAGGATTTGAATAATGTTTGCCATTCTAGCTATAAAATGCAGCACAAATAGCGGCAAAGATCATATGTGCTGTACCACTGCGTTTATGATAGGTGGCGTCATCGGTGGCAAACTGCTCAAACAAGTACACACACCTTACCGACGACCACTAGTTTGAGGAGTTTACCACGGATGACACCATCATTCACTTTTCTCAGTCCATTACTTAACAACACACGATACGGATGGTATGTATGTACATAAGTATAATGTGCATACGGAAATTATATTAAATTGGTGACTAAAGTTGAATTATGTAGTGCTTTGAAAAGTAGATGTGTGTGTGTGTGTGACAGTTTGTTGTTAGTGTGTTATTTTTTAAACCGTAATACGTTATTTGCATAAAACATTGGTAGCAAATTAGTGTACATTTTTGCAAAGTTTTTGAATCACTGCGAAGATCGATATTGCTCTGCGAGTGTTGCTGAATTTATCGACCAGATCTTACACAATTTAACGACCAGACTACATTGAACGAACGTCAATGAATAAGCAAATGGCAGCTTTATTGTTAGTGATAATGACCATAGTAGTCGTTATTAATGTTGACAGCTCGATGAATGTGCGAGGCAATTTTAAACAGACCGCAAAATTGCAAAGTCGTCACGATTTGGTTGGCATCCCGTGGACATGCGCGCTTCTCTATAGGGAACTTGATCGTCGCGATTGGCTAGCTTGAAACTCAATGTCATGCTTCAAGGTAAACTATCGATGACGTCAGTGTACGTCACTTAACAAGTGGGAGTGGATGGATAGATGTCGGCAGCCGTGCTGGCTCTCGCGAATAATCGCAAACGAAATTCGCAACGAACGATAGCCACGGTCGTCGCGATAATGTCGCGTGTTTCCTAACGATGTAGTTCTCTCGCTGGCGAAAGAAAACAAAATACAAGAAGACCCGTGGAACAGACGAGAGAAAAAAAAAACAAGTTGCAACTCACACGTGTTTCCGCGGCAAATGGAAAAACACCGAAATCGGACCGCGCATGCCCGACAACCGATGACGTCACGAAAATTGTGCTTTTGATCAAACTCGCTCTCTCGTCGTCTCTTTTTTTTATTTCTCTCGCGTTGTGGACGTAATAATGTGGAGAGTGAAATAATTGCACGGAAAAGCTCTGTAGGAGCCACGGACAAGCCGGCGAATATCGTAAGTAAATTTCAATATCCTCTCGTTCTTTCAGAAGTCATTCGTTGACTTACAGTCTGTTAACATGGCCTTCACACATGCATGCACGCACGCACGCACGCACGTACGCACCACGCACGCACGACGGCCGACACTCACTCATCATATGTGCGTTCACGCGCCCTACACACATAATACATATAGCACGTATGAACACACATGCCGTTTGTTCGTGCGCGCGCTCGAAGCGTTCATGGTTTTCAGGGGAAAAAACTCATTCCTTACAGTGTTTCAGTTGTCTGATAATTCCCAAGACTTGTATAAATTAAGCTCGCTTTCCGAATATTACGTTAATTCGATGAACCAGCAGTCTTTTTCTTATCCAGATATTAATATTGATCTTCTACCAAAGCAATGATCGAAAATGACAGATCTTGTTCTCACTCGAACATAATTACCACTTTGCTTCTGTTTTTCTCACTTTTAATTCGTCGTTGGATGATCGTTGAACTTATCGCGCCGTCTTTTTCTATTCATTTCTTTTTGGTTGCAATGATAGGGGTCTGCTGTGGGTTATTGTTTTGCATGTGTGCTTTTTTTTGCTTGAACGACAACGTTGAAGTCTTACACTTTATTCAATGGTTGATGAAATGTAACAGGGTTTTAGAGGTGTACTAGATTACATATATGAGAAAGTTTAATAAGTAACCTCTGTTGGACCCAAAATGCTTTTAAGAAGCAATAACTTGGTTGGACAAGAAGAGTAGTATGTTTCATATGTTACATATGTTATATACAACCGAATAAAACGTGTTCAATTTTTGATCAAATACACAGTATTATTGGAACATTGTTATCTTTAATAAGACTAGAGATGCTAACAGCATACACTTACAATCATGGTTCGTAAGTTTACAATAGTTACATTTGTACTTTGAGTTATGCTAAATAAAATGCAGCAAGTTATTGTAGACTCATCTTTAAGTTGTGATATTATCTGTTCAAGTATATGTATATACCATGACTACCAGCTTGTAAACAATACAAAGGGTCTCTATATAGTTTTTTCTTTTGAACTTGTATATTTGTAACAAATTACAGTTACATTAGAATTTTTCAGCGGTAAGCATATGGTGTAAATGTTCCTTTGTGATGCAATACACGTTGAGAAATCAATATTAATTGAATCGATAAATATATTCCGGCTTAATCTTCTGGATCATACTTTTGATATCAGTTCGAATGAATAAAAATTCTATCTTTGTTCGTAGGGAGATATATCTATATAAATATATTTTTCTTCTACGTGTACACAGTGAACTACCATATGGATCGAAACTGGAATGTGACAGTAAAATTTCTAAATGTAATATGAAGAAAAATGTAAAATGAAAATTACAATTAATCCATTCTGAAGAACTGTACAGATTTCTGCAAGATGCTGCCATCTGCAGGCATTAATGCAAAGTACATGGTAATTGATCGGTAAAGCAGAGATCGCTATGCAACGATGCAAATGATGATTGCGTTAGTTCTGATATTTATTCTAAAAGAAGAGATCGCCAATGAAGGAATAAATGTTAAATAAATAACAGTGGTAAATAGGTGAAATTTGTTATTCGTTGGGTAGGTATATACTTTCGGGTCTAAATGATATCGAAAGTACGAATAGGAATTTTCTTCGAGATTCGGTTCGGTTCGGTTCGGTTCGGTTTAGTTCGGCTCGACTCGAATTTTGACTTTTGTTGGTAGTTAGGCGTCTGAAAAGTAACGAAAAGAGTCAACGTTTAGGTCATACGCGTTGCATATGGTCTCCGATTTACATAGGAAGCACATTGTGCCGCGCTTTGTACCACGAGGCACGAGGTCGTGCGCGATTCTTTCTACCCACTATTCTTACGTGGGTTCAAGTTCGGTGAGATGCCGCGATAAGTCTAGATCTGATACAGCCTTCGAATTGTACGTAACAGACGGATAGGTACATGCGTTCACGTTCATGCTACATCGTTTTATATCTATACATGTGTACTTTGAATCGTCTTGTACGTAATACATATAATGATACGGTATGTATGCCTCTGTGTATGTGTGTACATACATGTTCACATAGAAGGAAGACATAGTACACGTAGGGTCCTTTCGCGTAAAATGACTGAGAATAGATCGTGTAATTGTAAAATGGATGAAAATTGAAAGACATGGTCGACCATTCGATGTGGCTGTCGATGCATTGTACTCGATTTCCGATACTTTCGATATATATTTTTGCCATTGCGCCCAAAAAAGCTTGGAGCTGATAAAAATTCTACGAAGAAATCGTGCACGTCGGATATCGGCATCGATCCCACGCACCCGGTAGAAAGGAATGGTTTCATCGATAACCTTCCTGAGAATACCACAACCACTGACGTCATACAATTTCGAGATATTATGCAAGTGATTTTCCTTTCTTTCTTTTCCAAATAACCATTACCTGTGTATTCCTCGTGAGCCCAGCAGAGAAGCCAAGAATTTTCAAATTTCCCGGGCCCTTGCTCGACTATCACATCACACCTCATCACACGACGTCAAACCAAACAACGCCGGCTGTCCTTTTAGCAGCATCGGCTTTGAAATTTCCGGTGTTTTCGCGATTCGTCAGGAAATATAGGTACCTACACACGTTACTCTTTCTTTGTTCAAGCAAATCGAAATCCTAGGGCCTGTTTCAATATTATTTGTCCCCGTTTCTCGCCTCCGCACCGTTGCAAAAAGAAGGAAAAAGACAGAAAGATGTACCGAATTTAGATTAACTTCCTATCCAGTGAATTACATTGAAAGAAATTGCGGATTTACTTATTGATAGATCCGATAAATGACGCGAAATGTTCTAGGGTTACGATGAAACTGAATAATGAATGCAGAATTTCGAAATAACATTTAAACCAATTTGACGGGATCTTTTAATGGGGCTAGGCGTTGACTAATTTGATCCGTGCCATCTGAAATTCTGACGCTCGACTTAATAATTCATCGACTTTACGGGTATACTTAGATCCAAAATGGAAAACCGTGACGAAGCGTATTAGAGAGAAACTAGCGTGTCTCCCTGGTCTGTGTGTCTGTGAAATTGATCTTTTAACGGTTGCCATCGTTTCCACCATAGTTCATTCAGATATCTTCTCAGAAGTACCTGTATCATAACTTGTACACTGAATTCATCGAAATATTTTCATTTATGCATCGATTGGATTGCGTTAAATACTCTGTTGTGACAAAGGGGAACAATTCTAATGATAATAATTGAAATATATTAAGTTGCGTTCGAGCAGTTTCGCGTAGCTCTCCATGTACACGTTCGGATAACGCGTTATATGTACCATACATATGTATATTCGACAAAATACGTCGCTGTACGCGAAAGACAACGACGGTGATGACGGCGATGGCAGCGATTTTAGCGATGGCAGCGGCACGTGTGATCGGCACGTGTCGAAGGGTGCGTGATGAAAACGGGAAACGATGGGACGGAACAGGTGAGACACGGGGATCGGATTTTCTGTGTTTTCCACGGGGCAGGAATACGGGTGGTGGGGGATGGGGGGGAGTGGTGGAGGGGACGTGCGTCAGTGTTTTTCCTCGACCGGGCGTCGCTTGGATCGCAGGAGGACAATCGACTTTTGACTACGACGCAACACGTGTATATCGCACGTGAGAGAGTGGGCGGAAGGAATCATTGGAGTCGTCGCGTTCAGATTTACGTCAATCGTGACCCAACGCGCGAGCCTCGGAGTCTCACAGCCCTAGCCAACCAGCCGTGAAAAAGGACGGTAATAGTAAAGGAGAACAGAACGGGTCGAGCTGGGTTGAGTCGCGATGCTTTTCCGATACGAGGTTCAACCGCGTGTTGTCGACACACTCGTCCAACCAATTTTTCCCGGCTTGAGTTTGGCTGGTCGGACGATTTTTTAACGGTCAACAAAGAACTTGAGGTTAATCGGGACCCCACCTTACACGGTACCGATAATAACAAACGCAGATCTTACGTGTGCCCCCGTTACCGATTGATATGGAACGAAAAAGTACGATTCCGAAACTTGTTCAGCTCGAAACGCGCACTCGTCCACCTTATCGTTGAAAATCCATCGATTCGGTCGGATCGTAATTAGAATCGAAATAGCCGGTGACCAATCACAAGGAGATGAAAACGCATTTTACGCGGGAACTCGATTCCCTCGTCCCCTGTTCGCCTTCGCCGCCACCCTTCAACCCCCCGCCAGCTCCTCTCTCTTGCAGTGATCACCACGTGTTGGTAGCACGTGCCTGCTGCGTTCACCTTCCGCGGTTCAAAGCTGCATCTACGATTCGCCGAGTCGATTTGTGTGTTATGGCTCCACGTCGGACAAATGAAGGATCGTTGTCGTGAGATCAGTCGTGGATAATGCGTCGTTATGTAGTTTCGGTTATCAGGGTGACGCGACATTGTTATTATTATCATCATCATCATCATCATTATTTATTATTGTTATTATTGTGGTTTGGAGTGATCGGGGAAGAGAAGTTTCGAAAAAGCCGATAAGAATTAAGTGAATGAAATTAATCGGAACTTATTAAATACCGTTTGAAGCTTTTGAACCTACGACAAACTGGAGACCGGGACGGCGTGATGTTAAGAGCGTAGGAGGAGGGAACAAGAGGGAAGAGGGTAGGAACGCGTCATCACGAGTCTGTATCGCGAAGGGTCGATTATAAATTTTGCACGCGTGGTACGGCAACGTGCACGCTCCAGAGATTTCTATCGAGGATCGGATCCGATCCCGATTCACTCGATACACCGTGTAGATGGGACAGATTGAGATGGGGTTCGGAACGATGGATCAACAGGGCAGAGGGGAAATTAATGCTTGCGTCGTCGTCGTCGTCGGCGGCGTGGCGCAGGTACCTAAGTACATGTATACCCTGTTATTAGCGTTGGGACCAAATTCGATGCGTTATCAGGATTGTTCAAAATGCAATGATTTTCCGAAGTAGTAGTAAATGCA